TGTTCTCCAGGTTTCACATATGGGAAATGGAAGCACGTGTCACTTGCCTAAGGAGCCATAGCTAACCCGAGGTCAGAAATGCCTGGTCCCAACCTTGGGTTTCTCAACTTTTCTCCATTAGGCTCACAGACAAAGGCAGATGATTCCAGCTGAAGCAACTGGAAAGCCACTGTGCTGTTTTGAATCACAAGGCCTTCAAGTTGCAATCCAGGCTACAAATCCCCACCGCCCCCCCCTCCTTTCCTCTTCTTACACATTCTCCTTTCTCTTCATTCTGCCATCTACTGCTGGGGTACCAGGAATGGGATTTTCCACAAATGTGAGGATGAATGAGAAAGTAGTCCCTGAAGAATTCCATCTAGATAGAGGACTAACTGAGGATAGCCATCGCATGAAACACATGTTGTTACCATGCTACAAGAATGTGGGAGATGAAGCAAATCATTGTTCTGTGCTTCCATATTAGTGAAATACTCAGGTCTCATGTTATGCCACCCATCAGAACCCATTTATATAAAAGCTGGTAATTGTATTGTACATAGCCAAACAGTGTTTGGCAATTTGTCTTTTGAGTTACTGTTGAGACTTGTATACAATAAAATCCCATTTGCTTTTTAAAACAGTGAAGTAAATATCTGTCATATTGTGTTCTGCGCCTTACACATTTTCTTAGAATACGTGTAATTGCTCAATATACTGAACCACATCCAACTGACGTAACCTACTTTCTACTAACACTACTGTTTTCCAAAAGAACAAAACATCTTACATGAGCCCAGAGTGTAAGGATAGCCTAGACATAAGGATATTTTATGTGTGTGGAAGCATGCTAGGATGGCACACTTTCTGGGGAAATAATTTCCCCATCCAGGTGAGCCTGGAACCAGAGGTCAGCCAAGCCCACTTCCTAGTCCTAAGCCCATTTCCTATAAATAAGCTGACCAACTAGAATGAACATGTGCACAAGAGGATTTTCCTTGCTAGTTTTTTTTTTTTTTTTGGGGGGGGGGGTTCTGGTTGTGGGGCCTGAACTCTGGGCCTCCCTCAGTCTCTTCAGCTCAAGGCTAGCACTCTACCACTTGAGCCACAGTGCTACTTCCACTTCTTTCTTTTTGCATATGTGGTGCTGAGGAATCGAACCCAGGGCCTCAGGCATGCAAGGCAAGTGCTCTACCACTGAGCCACCTTCCCAGCCCATCCTTGTTAGTGTTTTGTCTCTTCATCATACAGACAAAACACTGAAAAGGCCTAGAAAGCCTAGAAGCACAACCATCAGTGAAGAAAGCCTAGAATTTGCTTTCAGTTTCTTAGTTCAAAACCTTTGTGTGTTCAATGAGAAGGCTGTAGTGTCAGAACATCTGGTCCATGGTTAGCCTCTTGAAAAAGAGACTGTTACCTGAAGGTGGAGACTGTATATCTTTGACTTTTCATAGTGCAGGTGATCAGATAGAAGCAAGCCATTGGCCATTCATGGAGCCTGAGACTCCACAGGTGACTTCCCAACCCCAAGGCTGGTCCAGTGGGCCTGATGTCACTGTGCTAAGATTACATATGTTAGGAAGTCGTGCTGTGGCTCCAACTGGTAGAACGCTAGCCCTGAACAAAAGAGCTCAGGTACTGTGCCCAGGTCCTGAGTTCAAGCCCCATGACCGGTCAAAAAAAATTACATAGTTCTTTTGGATCCTCTGGTAAAAAAAAAAAAAAAAGGTAGGCAAGCACCACTGTTTAAGCATGGGAAGGGTTCGACAGGGTCCTCCCTGAGGAGACAGGCCACTAGGGCTCATGCTGACCTCCAAGACAGTTCTGACTTCACTTGCTAAAAATTGTATCTAGCTGTTAATGAGACCATAATTATTGTGCATTGAATTCTTGCTTCCACCATTATCCAGGTATAAATCACCTTACCAAACATTTGTGGGAAAATAGCAGAAAATAGTAGCAAAGAAATTAAAGCAAATGTTGTGTCTATTTCAACACTTTTAAGTTAAAAAAAAATCTGTTTCAGCAAAGGTTTTCTTTGGTTTTAGGAAGAAAGAGAACTATATATTTATTGTGATTAGAAAATTCAGAACAGAGCTTTTCTTGTATGTAATAAAATACCTGTAGCAGTTGGATATTACCTACAGTAATACAACAGTGGGGAAAATTCAAAGACCTGTGCATAATCAGCACAGGTTTTCTGACAGAAGGATGAGTTCAACACCATGTTCAACAAGCCAGTCCTCCAGAGAACAGTTCCCATCAAATCCCTGTGTATATTCAAATACCAGCCCCTTTTCATCTTCATCTCAAGACCTAGAAGAAAAAAGGAATGAATCGCAGAGAAAAAAGACATGGTTTTCTCATCATCACTTTAGCCACGTGATGCTGGGAAGAGACAGTCTTGGGAAGCTGGGAGTCCTTCCAGGAGATATGGTCTCCATTGAAACATGCTCTTCCATTCTCTTAAGTCAGAGACAGAGTAAGACTTCCCTGAATGGTTTCAGCAGGTTCCACAGAGGATACTTTAGGTTCAGGGAGACCCATGAGGCCCTTGGGTCAATAGGTCAATAGGTCAAATGCCCAGCCATTCTCAGACCAGACATTTAGGTAAATGTCCTAGAGCACACAGCCTAAAGCAAACTACACTCCTCCATTTCCAACACAGCAGGAACTCTGACCCTCTCAAATATGTGTATTATAGGCAAATTGAACGGGCTTTGTGTTTAAGAGTAATAGGCCTCAACTACTTAAGAGATTTTTTTTTTTTTGCCAGTCCTGGAGCTTGAACTCAGGGCCTAAGCTTCTTTCACTCAAAGGTAGCATTCTACCACTTGAGCTACAGAAACACTTCTGGATTTTTTTTTTGGTAATTTATTGAAGACAAGAGTCTCACAGACTTTGCTGCCTGGGTTGGCTTCAAACTACAACCTTCAGATCTCAGCTTCCCAAGTAGCTAGGATTACAGATGTGAGCCACCAGCACACAGCTAAGAGCAGATTCTTATCATTAAAAAAAATACAAGTTACTAGACCGTGACTGAAAGTGAAGGCTTAGCGGTTTACACTGATGACCTGGGATGTGAGATCTGTACATCCACACTAGAACAACAGCATTTACTTCAAAGACTTGAGCAAAATGACTGCATGTTTTTCTATGGTGTTTTTTTTTCCTTCAAAAAAAAACACTACAAAATAATCCCTATTATGAGATTTTGCTTTACGTCTGTTAACTCAGCGGAACTTATAAAAGAATCCTTCTCCACAATGTCTTCCTAGTCCTGGAAGCAGGTCTTAGATTTATCCAAGACATTGATGCTTGCTGTATTAATAGTAGTCATTATTTAGGTTTGATTTCCAGTAGTGTACCTACATTCATTGAATTTGGATGATTTTTCATATAGTGACCATTCTTACCAATGCCAAAGGAATTCTTAAGTACTTAAATCTTACATGGTAAGCAGATACACAGCCTCATCTCAAAAGATCTTCACTGTGAGATGGTAGTTATTTAAAGCAATTCTAGAAATGCATTTAAAAAATAAAATCAATCAATTGGAAGCCTTCCAGTACGAGGATTACACCGAATCAGAAATGCAATGGGAGTACATGGGCTGAGGAGTTGAACAAATACGGCTTCCTCAGATTCACTTATCACAAAATCATTACATTTGAAATCTGTGACTTATGTTCCAGGTCAATTCCTTCCCCCCAATTTTATCAATGAGGAAACTGAGCCCCGAAGTTACTCAACTAGTTAGGACTGGTGTATGTGTGCCACACAGGTCTTCTCAACTTCCCATAATATTCTTTCCAGTTGACCACTGCTTTCTGGAGAAGAAATCTTATTTTCTCACCAGAATCATTCACACCACAGGTGCTGGGTCACCTAACTGTCTTCACTCATTAGCAAATCTGAAATTATCACTGGCTCAGTGTTATGGTCAAAAGAAATGGTGTTTTTAAATGTCTTATGCTTTTGAAAATACAAAGAAAATGACAGTTGCTTCCCAGCAAGCCACAAGCTTTAGGCTGAGCTTTCTCTAGGTAGCAACTCTAGCTTTTCATACAATTGTGGTTAAAAAAAAACCCACATAACATGATTAGCCATCTTGATTATTTCTAAGTGCATAGTGAAACTGTGACTCACTCTGTTGTGTTAATTCCAAGGTCGGCTGTTTCTCTCTGCCTCTGCCTTTATGGTTTTATGTTTTCCTTAATTTCTGCCAAATGTCTTCAGAATATATATTTCATAACCCCAGGAATCTGGCTAGACAACCTCTTCCCCTGGGGCTTTTATATAAACCTCCTTGTTATGATCTCCTGTACATAGCTGGTCTTGCCACTCACAGAATTTTGGTCGAAATTCTACCCTTTTTATTTTCAGTACTATGATTTAAACTTAGGGCCTCACATTTACTAGACCAGTACTCTACCACTGGAGCCATTCCTCCAGTCCTTTGTTTGCATAGGCTTTTTATTTTGTTTTCTTTTGTTATTCATTATTATTTTGCCATAGGGTCTCACTTTTTGCCTGGGCCCATACCTGAACTGCAATCCTCCTATTTTATACTCTGCACCACAGCTGGGATGACAGGGGCATACCACCATGCCCAACTTCTTCCATTGAAATGGAGTCTCATGGACCTTTTTCTTCCTGGGCTGGGATAGAATTGTAATCCTCCCAAATTGTAGCCTCCCAAAGGAGTTAGGATTACAGGAGGGAGTCATCAGCACCTCCTGTTAACTCTGCCATTTCTTTTTTTTTAAATTTGGGGATGGGGGTGAAGGAAAAGAGTAAAAGAAAAGCTTTCCATTTGTGTTTCAGATCCTCTACTTTGAAAATAATCTTTATACGCACAGGATAATGGCGCTTCCCCTCAATGTGACATTTTCTCTATTATTTGTCTTATCGTTGCTGTTTCCTTAAAATTATCAGAGTAATGAGCAGTTATGTGATGTTCATTCCAAGTATAAAAATCATGCATTCATCTTGAGCTCTCCTTTCTTCTATTTCTGCAGAGCTTGCACTCGACAGCGCATGCTGAGCGGATCATTCGAGGGGCAGCCGGCGAAGGAGAGGTCAATCCTCAGTGTCCAGCACCACATCCGCCAGGAGCGCAGGTAAGCACGGCAGGAAGCTGTGCTCCCTCCGGGACACACAGAAGAAGAGTGTGCAGGAAGAAGAAGAGTGTGCAGGATGCGTCCTCTTGGCACCACTATCAGTCCAGCCGTGGTTGGCTGGCAGGCAGGACCAAGTAAGGACCTGAGTTCTAGCTGCTGGTGGTAACAATGATGATTCAATCTTATTCAAAGATCCAAAACTCTTTACTTCAAAGACCTTTTCCTTGCCAATCGCCAAATTTGCACTTTTAAGATCAGAAGGAAAATTCCTGAAATCTTGTTAGATGGAATCAAAGGCATTTGTACAGACTCTATGCTTTTACTCTGAAAAGAAATGAGGCGTTAGTGATGTGGCATCAGAAAAATTGTGGGTTTTTTCCTAATATGATCATTGCTTAAAAGTCAAAAATTGATCTTGAGGTACATTAACTGAATGATTTTTGTTCTTCCAGATCATTAAGACACGGCTCAAACAGCCAGAGGATCAGCAGGGGGAAATCGCTTGAAACTTTGACTCAAGATGTAAGTCCTGAACAATGTTTTGGATTTGGGAAGCACGATTGTGAAAATGTATTTCAATGATTGCTTAGATAATTGCAGTCCTGGGTCTTTCTGTTAGTTGCTATGTCTCTAACACTTTTTATCAAAAGGAATCAGAAAACAGAATACATGGTCACATATGGAATATGATTGTTAACTAGAAAAATCCAGACTTTTCACATAGAACATGTCTTTGATAAAAGAATAGCCCAAAAGTGGAATATCCATTTCATTTGACTGAAATTAAGGATATGTAAAACGTTCATAGGAATGATTTGCATCATTAGCTTTGAAAGTTTACCAAGTTCTAAATGCTCTAGAATCTGAATCCACTGTAATCTCAGGACCTTAAAAGCTAAGGCATAACTTTTTTTCTAAAATTTGTCTGCCAAAGATAACATAGAATTTCCCAATAATTTTTGTTTTCATTTTTACACTGTAGACCTTTCCTGTGTTTAGTTACTGACCATAGTGTATTAGTCAAGTGACTGTGTACGTTTTGTTTCAGATTTAGTTCTAATCTATCAGGAGTAGGAAGGACACAGAAGGGTTCATAGCCTTCTAGAGATTACATCCTAGCCAAAAAGACAGATGATAAATAAGTAGACAGGCAACAGAATTTTCAAGAGTGATTTCTTTCATTTGTTTCCAACATCTCCCTGTTGCAATCATAGGTTCGTTGTATTCTGTAAAGTAAAATAAATCAGGGTAAAGATATGAGGACAGGGATACAATGGTTAGTGTCTTTTATATAACATATTATAGCGCTTATTATATATAACTGCTTTACATATATTATATAACTATTTTATATGTATACCTATATCTAACAGTTAAATGAATGTACTATAAACAAATATTACACTTTGTATGTAGATCATATATTTTGGGTATATATACATGCATATAGGCATGGATTTTAATTTTTAGAAAATGATAGTATTCTGGGCTTCTAAAACAATCGCTGTAATATGCATTCTCTTGGTGTATTTCTAGCATTCCAATACAGTGAGATACAGAAATGCACAAAGAGAAGACAGTGAAATCAAGATGATTCAGGAAAAAAAGGAGCAAGCTGAGATGAAGAGGTACAGGCTACAGCTGTGGTGTGTGGCTGTGGTGTAAGAACGTCAGACTTTACCCTGGCTTCACTATCGCATAACTGCCCCCTTCTAGGAAGGTGCAGGAAGAGGAACTGCGAGAGAACCACCCTTACTTCGACAAGCCGCTGTTTATAGTGGGCCGGGAGCACAGGTTCAGAAACTTTTGCCGTGTGGTAGTCCGGGCACGCTTCAATGCGTAAGTGCATTCCGTTTCAGCCAGGTGTTTGACCCGAGTCCTGAGAACAGCACGGAGCTTGTCACAGGAAGAGAAAGGACTATGTAGTCCTAATGGGGTCACAGAAAAACCACAGGCTAATTAATCATGCTGGTCCTCTTTGCTGAGCAAATGACCAGGTGGGAAACAAAGAGAGGTTGCTTGCCAGTAGTTCACATTTGTAGAAAACTCTCATTGATAAAGCACTTCATGGCCATGTTTACTTGTGCTTTACCTATCCCCTTAATAGGTTTATATCAGTGTTCTTAACTATGTTTTGAAAATAATTAAAGGAAGGAAAACTGTCTGATAGGGTAAGAGGTCACATCGTCAGACGTGCAGTTATTCTATAATCGAAATATTCCAATTAGCTAACTCTAGAATAAGGTAGAAGGTAAGTTCACCACTGCTTCCATTAACAATTGCTTGAGAGGAAAATCCACTAGTCCTGGTCTGCCCTACCGACATGGAAGAAATGTGGGAGACTCTCACCTTACCACTAAGTCAAACCTGTGGTACACCAAGCCACCTGTCACAGGCAAGCCAGTAGCTGAAAGAAATTGCAAGTTTTAAGTAATTATGCTGAAGACATTACGAGTCCTGGGGTAAGGGTAAAAAAGTCTCACACATTTGAGCCTTCACTCATACCATCATTTAGGTAAATCCCTTTTGTGGATGATCCATAGCCCAAGATAACCATTATCTGCTATAGGCTTGTGCCCCCCATGGGTTGAATTTATTACCTTCTACCTCAGAATGTGACTGTATTTGGAGGCAGGAACTTGAAAAAGGTAATTAAAGTGAGATTTATAAGAAGGTGAAGTTTGCACACACACACACACACACACACACACACACACACACACACACACACACACACACACACACACATGAGAAGAGGCCACACAAGATGACCAGGTAAAGAGCTCTGACCCTCTCAGCCCTCAGAAGGAACAACACAAGCAAACCTCACCTTCATCCTGGACTTCTAGCCACCAAAACCACAAGACAACACATTTTCCTTGCTCAGTCCACCTGCTGAGGATGCTTTGTTACAGCAGCTCTAGGAAGACAATACATACTGTCCTCACATGACAGAGTGCAGGAAGCCTGGGAGACCACATGGCAGCCTGTGTGCCTGCCCTTCCAACGAGGAGGACATTTAGGCCTTTGGACTGAGAGACTCTGGCTAGTGCAGGGCTTCCTTCTCATTGCCAGCCTGCTGTTCGTTCTTCTGTTCTAGAGAGACTGCGCAATTGAATGCACCTGAGTAATAACCAGTACACACTTCCCTGCATTTCTGTAAAGCAAAGGAAGAAGATAGCAGTTCAGATGTTTGGGTCATTGCCCGAGTTGTGTTTTTCACCTTGAATTATCCTGTCGGCCACTTACATGTTTACATCTAATTGCTAATTCTTTACTTCATTATTTATTTATCTGTTTATTTATGTATTGTCAGTCATGGGGCTTGAACTCTGGGCCTGGGCACTGTCGTTGAGCTCTTCAGCTCAAGGTGAGTGCTCTACCACTTGAGCCACAGCGCCACTTCTCTCCGCGTCCTTTAGGGTGGTGTCATTCTCCTTTAGTCAGCAACACAGTGGAATGGACTGAAAAAAGCATTGTTGTAGTTGAGAACACACGCACAGGCACACACACCCATACACATAAATATACACACGCAAATACATATGCACTCAAGGACAGGCAACTGCATTCATTCGATGGTGTTGGAGATACGGTCTTACTAAGTTTACCGGAGTTGACCAAGAACCATCATCCTTTTGCTTCTGTTTCTCAAGCAGCTGGGATTCAAGGTGTGCACTGTGTCTGGCCATTTTTGAATGGAGTCTCTTATCTACAGCTCAAGAATTGGGGGAGATAGAAAACTGCTTCCATAAGCATGAATTGCAAACCCATCCCATTTTTATTTTATTCCACGCTCTCTACCTTCCAGTGGCAGATTCAGTTAACAGGTTTTGTTTCAATGCACATTTTAGTGAGGGTGTAAAAGAAACCTCAGGTGGAGAGATGCAGGAAGCAGAGGTTGCCAGGCTGTGTGGTACGGCTGGGCTGAGAAACCTACGACTGTTCTTCTCTTACAGATCGAAAACAGATCCAGTCACGGGAGCTGTGAAAATTACCAAGTACCATCAACTCTAGTAAGCATTACAAGCTCTGCACACATTTCAAGTATGGTTTTATGCTGCATAAAAATCTAAAAAATGCTCTATTATTTTCTTCCTACATAGTACTGTGAAACAGATAACGAGATGTATTTTGTACAAATACCAGTCCTATGAATAGAGTGAGAAAAGAAGCCATTATCTCTGACTCTCTGTATGTAGACTTTTCCTAGAGTGTTGGTGTTTCTCAATTTTGTTTGGCCTTCGGCAGTGATTTGCTGGGATTAGTCACTTACCTGGACTGGGTCATGATCATTGTAACCATCTGCTCCTGCATCTCCATGATGTTTGAATCCCCCTTCCGAAGAGTCATGCATACGCCTACTTTGCAGGTACCGCTACTCAAGCTCACTCCCAGCTCACTGTTCCCATATTGACCTGTAATTTTGCCATTCACAGTGACCATGTTGCCTTTTGCCCATTTCAGATCGCCGAGTACGTGTTTGTCATCTTCATGAGCATTGAACTTAATCTGAAGATTATGGCAGATGGCTTATTTTTCACTCCAACTGCTGTTATCAGGGACTTTGGTGGAGTAATGGATATATTTATTTATCTTGTAAGTCTTGGGTTATTTCCTAAATGTAAAACATAATAGTTTGGTAACATCTCCCCTGCATTGCTTGGGACTGGTGTGAAATGTTGAAGTCTGGTTGCTACAATTGAATGCTTATATATGAGTAATATGAGAATAACTATCCTAAATAACCTAAATAAAAAGCACTAAAATAGATGTGGATAGTTGTTATTCAAATATACCAACTATAATTTTATGTGTGAATGAAATATAATAACAAGGTTTAAAATAGCAAAGCTAACCAGACATCAGTGGCTCAGGCCTGTAATCCTACTTCAGAGGCTGAGATCTGAGACTTTCCAACCCAGGCAGGAAAGTCTATGGAACCCTTATCTCCAGTTAACAATGGAAAATCCAGAAGTGGTGCTGTGACTCAAAGTGGTAGAGTGCTAACCTTGAGCTAAAAGAGCTCAGGGGCACTGCCCAGGCCCTGAGTTCAAGCTCTACCCACAACAACAAGAAAAAAGCAAAGCTAGTTTACATTCCACATCAGCAATGCCTCAAATTCAATAAGTTTAAAAAGGAGCAGACATGGGCACTGCTCTGAGCTACTCAGGAGGCTGACATATAGAGAGTTTTATTTTAAGCCAATCCTGGCACATAAAAGTTATATTTCCAAATCCAGACTAGAGGCATGAGTCAAATGGACAAGCACCAGCTGAGCAGGCAAGCCTAAGACCCTGAGTTCAAACCTAATATCAGAGAAGAAGGAGGAAGAGGAGAGGGAGAAGGAGGAGAAAGAGGAGCTGTGGGGGTCACACAGACACAGAGTGGGTACCCCCATTTCATTCCACACACATGGTGAGTTTTCTCATAAAGGCCTCTTAATGAGTCTACATTGAATTTGTCATTCAAGGTTAGCAGACCGCCCACGTGTGAGCACTTGTTTCACACAACAAATGAAAGCCTGGCTGAGTGAGAAGTTATGGCTAGTTGCTCTCGGGAAATGCAGAAAGTTGAGAGGGTGTTGTATACCTTCCTTCTAGGTAAGCTTAATATTTCTTTGTTGGATGCCTCAAAATGTACCAGCTGAATCTGGAGCCCAGCTCCTGATGGTTCTTCGCTGCCTGAGGCCTCTACGGATATTCAAGCTGGTACCCCAGATGAGGAAAGTGGTTCGAGAACTTTTCAGTGGGTTCAAGGAAATTTTTCTGGTATGTTAGAGCTGCCCTTGGTTTCCTGTTCACCACAGCCCAATTCTGTCCCCTGGCTTATGGAGAGGAGGGGTGGAGTAAGGGAATCCTGGCGGTTATGGTCAAGGTCAAGGTCAAGTCTACAGTTTTGTTCATTGCCTAACATTAGAAAAGCAACAGCAAAACACAAGAAACTCCAACCGTGGATGCTGCTGGCTTATCATTTTATTTAATTAAATGAATATTTTAAATAAACTGAAGAGAAGTACTTGGGAAAGGAGGAGTGGCAAATCTGAAAAGGGAGGAGCCACTCACCCTGTCCCTGATTTCCACTTTATGATTCTCTTTCTCCATCTAGAAATTAAACATAAGAAAACTCAACCTTACCCCCTTCATAAATGAAATTATGAATTCATGCATTTGGACTCATAATCATATTCTGTGTGTTTCCTTAAGCAGATGGCATAGAATTTGTCCAGAGATCTCAGTAATACAGACAAACCACTTACAAGATGCAGCATTCAGGTCTACTTTACATACAGCAATCGCAGTATACAGTAAAGAACAATTATAAATGTGATGAAGAAAGGCGTATTCTTTTTAATTAGTCATGTATTGATGGTTTTCTAAGAATGGAGTGGAAGATAAAACAGAGTAAAGGGCTCATTGCACATACACTGTTCCAAAGCTCTCTGCCTTTTGAAAGAGTGGTTAATTTTTAAATTATAGATTAGTTGAACTTGTACATGAAAAACATACATTGAATTACATAAGCTTATTTTTATTGTACTTCCTAGAAAATCTGTATCACTATTGTGAGAGAGAAGCTGTAGTTTTAGTTGACAGGGGAGGTATTTTAAGGAAAGATTTTTAGTATTACTAAAGGCATATAGGTGCTAATGTATCTTTTAAGGATATTTTTAAATGCTTATTTTCTTTGCACAAAGCTATGGCTTTTCACACAGCTGAACATGAAAGAAAGCAAAAGTGTCACCTGACAGTTTATGTAGGTGAATCATTGGACTACTAAAAGGGCTTGAGAGGGAATATTATTGTGCTTTTATTCTGATGATGTTTCTATGTAGCTTTAGGCTCCTGAAGATCCATGTTTGCATTGGTCAGCCAGTACATTTTAGTAAATGCTTTTGAAATTTGCCCTTTGCAAAATTTCTCTAAGACAAAAGTAATAGCCAGCAGAGGGCGCACAAGTCAATTCACAGATTTGCTTCTCAGGGCTGAAATTATCTCCTAACCATACAGAGCACACTTTCATGTTCACATGAAAGCAAAGACCCCCATCTTCCAATGTATGCTCTGCTAATGAGGATAGAAATTCCTTTTGAGAACACTGGGCACAATCAAATTATTTAAATATTGTCCTTTGTCCTGTAAAATAAAATGTAGCAAAATATTGCCTTCCAATCAGAAAACCCAAAATCATAAAAAAAAAAAACTCACCTTATTTTCTTAGATGAGAGCCATCTGCATTTATCTTAAGAATTCAAAGCCCATTGTTAATTTCCTCCTTCTGAAATTTCAATGAGACTAATTGAATGACTGTGGTGGAGGAAGGTATCAATATGATCCAGAGAGTCCTTTTTTGTTTAATATCACTATTTAAGACAAACCTAATATGTACCATTTACCAAGAGATTTACTATTTCATCCATTTCTTAGGTCTCCATACTTCTGCTGACATTAATGCTTGTTTTTGCAAGTTTCGGAGTACAGCTTTTTGCTGGAAAACTAGCCAAGTGCAATGATCCCAACATCATCCGAAGGGTAAGCTGCTCCTGCCTGTCTTTTGAATTAAAAATCAAGGCAGTTTACCATCTTTCAGAAAACTTGTGGTACCAATGCCTACCAAGGCAACTTTGAGAACCCCCAAACATTAGAGCTCTTGTCCACAAACCAAAAGGTTTTGAGTTCAATTCCTACTACTGGGGTAGGGGTGGGGTGTAGAGAGTACATGGATATTCATCTCAGACAATTCTCTTCCTTTCCATTCCAAAGCCAATCCACAGTTGACATCATTGACATAAATGCCATGTATTCCAGATGCTAACAGCTGGAAGCCCTGACACTTTCAGGTCTTCCCTAAATATTGATGCTGCCTCTGTTGGCACACACAAGACTCATATCAGCAAAAACAGAAAAACAGGCCCCAGCAAAAAAAAAAAAAAAAGAGAGAGAGAGAGAGAGAGAAAAGAACAAACAGCAAAGTCTGAATCACACACTCCATTTTCTTTCTTCACTCAGCCTTCTCTCCAGGGAAGAAGCAGAACATAAATGCCCAGAAAAGCCAGCAAGGATTCAAACTTAATACTTTAATTTCTTTTCTCATTTTAATAAAAAGGTAACTGCTGGAGCCACCCCACATTTGAGTCACCCGAACATCATGATGTAGTTGTATTTTATCTTGGATAAAGCTGAGCAATTCTCCAAATGACCACTCCTGGATTCAGGTTCCTTCTGTCTGCCATAGTTGCTTTTCATTGTCCTCAGGGTGTTGTCTGTTCAACTGGCAGAACTTTATGAAGAAGGATTGTGAGCTAAGCCTACAATTGTGGGCTAAGCCTACAAGAGGCATGGGTTCCTTCAACCCATTCTCCTGGAGAAAGGATTGACTCGTAATGCTGGGGTAGGGCCCGGGGGCTGGAAAGCATGCTTTGTGATGTTCTCTGCTGATACAAAGTTTGATTTATACTTAGCTCAACTCTGCTCTGTCATCCAGTGTCCCATTCTCTTGGGATTATGTTCTAAATTGCAGTGAAGTAGGCCAAGTACAGCTACTGCACGAACTCTTCCATTCAAATAATTCAATTTAAATATTTGTCTCTGAGAGGCCTAGCAGAGCTGGGCATTGTACTACATAGTTCTAATGAATGGAACTAGAAGGTTTTATATTATATTAAAAAAACATCAGTTCCCTAATTATTATACAAAACAAACAATAGCTTTGTCTAGTCATGATGCATTACAAATCATGTTCAAATGAAGATATCAGGAAAGACACCAGATAAAGAGAGACATTCCAGAAATGTCCACAATCCTCAGAAGACACAACAAGCAACACAGTATGAAGGTCATGAAGTATAAAATTAGCAAATGAGGGAAGTAATAAAAGGCTGATTCATTAGTCCCTAGGCCTGTGTAAGGAAGAAGAGTTATTTTAGACTCACACTGAATAGAAGTCAGTGAGATAATAACAACATTTCAAGTTGAAGCCTACCAGGAACCCTGGGTGACTACGTTTTCTAATAATGGTCTGAGAGCATGGTGGTTTTCCATGATACACTCATAACCAACTCGGGCATGCCTTACTGACCACGCTGGGGATGGAGAGTGCCGGTAGATGAACAAGCACACAGGTATAACATCGTCTCATGGTAAGAAGTACTCGCCATCTTGAAATCTTTTCTAATTCCCATGTTAAGAGAGCAAGACCAAGAGCACCACATGGATGAAGGGAACCAAAATTCTACTTCAGAGTTTCGGTCCATCTACAGAATAGATAAACCCAGGGCTGGAAAGAAGATACATTCACCTGCGGTTGGCTCACACAGCTCAGGTATAAAGGCAGCAAGACTTGACTAATTGAGTCATGCTTTCCAGTTGGAAACACACATTATCATTTCGATCCTATAGTCCTTTGAGATGAGAGAGGGACATGGAGCCCTGAACTTCATCACCTAAGCTTAGTAAACAAAGTCTGATGATACCTTCTGACAAATAGTTATGAAATACCAGTTGCATCAGAGACACCGTGTGGAATAAAGTGAAAAGAGGACTGGAAAAGGGAGTTGGTTGTGACTCTGTCTGACCATAATTCCTGGCCAATCAGCAGATGAATTTATGTTACAAGCAGACAAAATATGCAGGCAAATGAGAAGTGAAAACAATGTGCCATCTGGTCCCATGGTGGGAAGTTGTCTTTCCACCCCGGGGTAGAGAAAGGCAATGACAAGGGCAGGAGGCCCTCCAAGCAGAGGATTCCTGGAGGCAGCAACCATGCAAGCCATCCTGCAAAGAGACAAGCAACACGGGCAAGAATAACACAGGCCTCAGAACATGAGTCCTGATCAGAATCCTGTAATAGATGCACCACTTGGTCCGGTCACTTCATCCCTCTGGATCTATTTTTTTTCCTTAGAAAACTTTTTACACATTGATCTTATAAAGACTTCATTAGTTAACCTATGAAAAGTACCTATCCATCAGTAACTTTATTTCTCTCCCATGTTGTAAACATTTGGAGAAAAAAAGGCCAGAAGGGCACATTAGGCAGACAGGTGTGTGTGTGTGTGTGTGTGTGTGTGTGTGTGTGTGTGTGTGTGTGTGTGTGTGTGTGTGTGTTATATTTGTTGCTAATGTGATAAATAAGAAGCCAGTAAGGGTTTGTAAGAAGAAAAATCCAACATTTCTCAGTGCTCTTGCACAGTACAAAGAAGTAATCTTTATTTTTGTTAGACTCTATGAATGAGGAAAACAGGTATAGAGCCACTACATAACTTGCTGAAGATCACTTACATAGTAAGTGAGAAAGCTTAGATTCACACTCAGCAGCCCGGATCTATGTGTTGAGTCTTCAACCAGAATACCTCATGCAGTCATAAAGGGGCTTGGGTGCTCTCAGAGGACGACGGCCAAGTGCATTGTGGGGCCTCATTTCAGCACCTAGTACAATCTTTTAAATTGACATTGTGGATGAATAACTGTGGCTGGGAAAAGATAACTACAGTGTATTTTAAACTGAAAAAGAACATAGAAGGATAAGAATTGAATGCATTGGAAAAAATACTAGAAGGATGTATACCAAGATGCTAATTGTCTTTGTGTATTTATGACTTTTCCTTTCTGTTTAATTATGCATTATAAAGTAATGCTGTGTTATTCGAGTTTGAAGTTTTCTGTACATTCAAGAATTTAATTGGAAACTCAGAAAGAGATAAAGTTGTCATTAAGTTGTTGAAATAGGAATGGAGAAATGGGTCGGTCATAAGGAACAGAGGAAGCAAGGCAATATTGAGGTTCCATGCTGACAACTTTGAGTCAAAATGACAGAGTTTAGGATCAAAGGTTGCATTAAACAAGTTACAATTGAATTTGTGTTGAAATAGTCTAATGATGATCAACAATTTTACCATATATAATAGGCTTACCAACTAGATTTAGGCTCAAAATAGTATAATCTTAGTGTAAGGAGCCAAGATAATCAAAAGAAGAATAGACAGAAAAGGAGTTGGAATGTCTTACTTCACCCTCCCACCTTCAAGGATACAGTTCGGTACTTTTTTCACATATTTAGAGCTCTATAACCACAGGTTGGCCATTTTCGGAACATTTGCTCCATTACAAAAAGGAACCTCGTCTCTTATTCATTGTCACCCAGGCCCGGAACCTTCATTCCACTTCAGCCCTAAATGATCTCTGATCGACATTTTTGTCTCTGTAAATTTCCTGATTCTGGGCTTTCATATAACTGGGATCATCTAATATAATTGGCTTTTTTATCTCATATATTTAGGCTTCCAGTAGTCATCCATGAATAGAATGTGTCAATACTTCATCTCCTTCGACAGCTGAACAATTTTCTATTATATTAATAGAGCACGTTTTTATCTGTTTGTCCAGTGGACATTTGCTTGCCTTCCACTTCGGAGTCATCATGAATAGTGCTAGTGTAAACATTCATGTACAAGCTTCTGGAGGAACTCACATTCTGTATGAACTCTCCTAGATAAGCAGGAGTGGAATCTCTCAGGAGTATTGTGTAACTGTTGGCTTTCTATTGGTATACCATATTACCTGAGGTTGTATTCTTTATAATGACAAAAGAAAGTTCTAGAAGCTGAAAGTCCAAGATTGTGTGGCCCCATCTGCTCAGTTCTTGGTGAAGGTTCTAGCTGTATCCCATGAAGACAGATGGTATCATAGTGAAAGAGAAAATTCATAGGGAGAAGACGGAAAGCCAGAGACCAGGGAGACCTCTCCAGTACTTCAGTTTTGTCATGGGCATGAGCTCTGAAAGACTACCATTAATCACTTCTGAGATCGGCACCCCACTGATTTAACCACCCTCCACTAGGCCTCCTCTCTCCAAGACTTCTCTCATATCACCATGCAGAGGACCAAGCCTTCAGCATTCAACCTTGCGATGCATTCAGTGGATAACAGCATGGAGTTGCAATCTATTTAGTCATCTGAGGAACTGCCAGGTTACTTTTCCGGAGATCTGCTGCATTGAACATCCCTGCCTGTATGGTGTCTGGGGACCCAAGCTCTCCTTCCGTGTCCTGGTTTTTGTTTTGCTTTTTGACTTTTTTGACTATGGCTTTCTTAGTATGAAATATGGTCTCATAGTGGTTTTGATTTGCATTTCCCTGGTGGCATCTTTACATGTGATTGTTGGCCATTTGAGTATCTTCCTTGGAGAAATATGTATTTAGGTCCTTTGCCCACTTACTGTTGATCTTAGGACCAACATTCACCTGTCTCTTTCCAGAATCTTGATTGCTATTTGCAAAATAACTGTCATTGCTCTTAAATAAAGACCTTTGCTATTTGATAGAAGAAATATTTCTTTGATCTTTTGTGACTTCACTTTCTGACTTGATTTCTATCTCCCTTGCTTCCTCTCCCTATAGGAAGATTGTAATGGCATATTCAGGATTAATGTAAGTGTGTCCAAGAACTTAAATTTAAAATTAAGACCTGGAGAGAAAAAACCTGGATTTTGGGTGCCACGTGTTTGGTAAGCCTATCATTAAAAACAAAACAATATTTTGAAGAATGCTGTGCTTGTCAGTTTAAGCGTTTCAATCAATATGATAAGGTTTGAAACTGAAATTATGCTAGACTTGTCAAACGTATTTTAAGTAACACGGGGTAAAGCCATGGGTGGCAACAGGGTTCAAAGGTAAGTGTCCAGTGACTTCCAGGTTGCTTCACAATCTAATGAAATACTCAATAGTATTTTTCTAACAGTATACATATCTGAACCAAATAGCTTTAAAGTTAATGAGGTTTTCAAAGCAGATTTAAAGCGAGCACATGAAAGCTAAACTCACTCTAAATGTTATCCTTAGCATAGGATCTGATGTCCTTAGAACTATTGTAGAGTATGCTAAATTATAAAGCTATTTCAAATTTTAAAGCCCGCTTATATTGATGGATTTCGATGATTGAAAAGCTGGACAGGAAGAATCAGTAACATGATTGTTTATTTCTCCTTCTCTCTTTGAAATACATTTTCCTCAAAAATGAATTTTTAAAGTATTTTGAATGAAAAGTAGAAGTACCCAACACCTTTTTTCTCATCTATTTTATTAATGACCTTTAAGTGGAATCTCTGCTTGGTTGATGAACTAAATGGTCTACTAACTTCATTTCCCTTTTCAATTACTTTTTAATTACTTTTTTCTCACCTCTTAGGAAAATGAGTGAACCACAGAAACCCCTTTTGTTACAACTGATGTTTTCTTCTAAACATCAAAACTTTCAAAAAAGGAAAAGCATTTTATCCAGCTCTTGCCTAGAATTCATTGTTACTTATTTGGCATTTCCCTCAATCTGAAATGCACTTTTGTAAGCCAATTATGATGCATATTGGCTTTTTAAAACAACAGCACCTAACAAGTGTGGGAAAAGATTAATACTGGTTGTGTGACTTAAGCTTGGATAAAGAGGATTATAACAACCAAGGGCATCTTCATTCCAATATTACTAGAAAAGCAGTCGAATTTCCATTCAAATAAAAATGAAAAAACATAAAAGCTTGTTTTTGTGCGATGAAATTTCATGAGATCATAAATAACTTATTTATATCAGGGAATCAATAGAATCTTTCCCCTGCTGTTTTGGGGATTTGGTATAAAGCCTAAAAGCTTAGGCCAATCAGAAGTAAAATGTCCTTACATCCTAAAGTGGACCAGTTCAGCAGAACTTACTAAGAAGTTATCGACCCCATCAGCCACTACGCATATGCAACGGGAAACTAGCCAAGGATAGCATTCTGGAAGCGAATGAGAGCACTGTGGGCACTTCCTGGTTGTGGAGAAAGGTTGAGGTGCTGACTGCCCTAACCTAGACAGGTCCCACAGGAGGAACACTGAATGCCAGACCTTAGCAAGGCAAGAAGATAGGTTCTGAAAACAAGCTGTTCTTCACCGCTTTGCAAAACAGTTACCTTGTCTCTCGGGAGAGCCAGGTTTAGAGCTACCTGGTCTGAGCGACCTTGGACGGAACTCTGCTGCAAAGTGCTAAGTACTGAGGAAAGTGGGCATCACTGACAAAAAGCCATTGGTGTGTTTCAGAAAGCAAGAGTGGAAACTCACCCAAAGACTGCATGCTCACCATGGGAATGGTGCAGCCGGGCACTCTTGATTTAAAACACAAGGTTGTGATGGGAAATTTGGGGTAGATCAAGGTCAGCCTTGATATCAGGCAACAACGACCTTTGGAAATGTAGTTTATAACTCACAGTTTCAAGAGGAGGGGATAAGATAAGCACCAGACTTGTCACCAAAGGGAGAGAGGACAACAAAGAGGAAAGCCCATATTGTGGTTTACATGGAAAGGAACAGAGACAGAGCAAACCGACTGAGGATTGGCTAGTTTGAATGATTTCAGAAAGCTCTGAGATGTACACACTGAGTTAGATGGCTGATACCTGGGCCGAGGGTGACTAATTGAGGTATATAGTAGCCTGAAATGTGAACTCAATAAAGCAGGTGGTAAGGACGTGAACTCCAGGCTGGAGACTCTGCATTTGAGAACTACAACCTCAGAAGGAGGATTCTGATCTTGACTATTTTTACGGTTCAAAGTAACCAGCAAGCTCTGGGACCTTCCAAGATCTCAGGAAAGAACTGCTTGGCCTGGAAGGCAATGTCACAGAAAAACAAACGTGTCCCAAATTGTACAATGTGACTGACATTCACTCTATTTTATAAAATCACTTACATGTGATTTTTAAAATCAAATTTAATTGAAATGCTGTATTATAGGTAAAGTATTACTGGCAGTTTTAAGTTCAATGGCATTTTGAAAGCAAAAGCAAACGGAGAGGCATTCCTTAAGCAACAACACAGTTTTTTTTGTTCCCTTATATAGGGTATTATGACCTATCTGATAGTAAAGTAAAAATCTTCAGTCTAATAAGTGCCCACTGGAGGCATGACTATTTTTACAATTTTTATCTTTAGTAATCCAATGAGTTAGAAGCTGAAATTTTATATTGGGTAAATTATGATTAAGAGAATAACTTATATTTGGGAATATGCCTAGGGGAATGATTTGGAATTTATAATCAGCACATAAATATGCACCATCTAATTCAGGACTCATTCTGGTTTCTATATTTTCTCTTCAGATGAATAAATTCATTTTCTTCTGAGTCATTCTGATTTGATGAGATAAAAATCACCTTGGTAAAAAGGATTAAACATATCACATATTATAACTATTGTGTCTTATTTTGAACAGGGATCAGGAATATAGGAAAATGACATGCATGAGAAAAAACCAAGTATGGGTTTTATGATGAATGTATTTGATGAGGGCCTACTATCCACCAGGTGTGAATGCTTGTCACAATTCATCCATGAATAACTTATGGACTTTGTCCCTGACAAGTCCCAAGTGTAGGGGAGAAGATTAAATAAAATTACAGCAAATCGCATATAATATGCTAAAGGCTTTGATGCCACAGGAACAAACTCCAAAGCACACAGTTATCTCTAGGTAATTTCAAGTTACTTTCTAGAACGATGGAGATAAAGTTTTGTGGGGTTTCAAGTTCAAATATGGACTATTAGGGTCTGTGAATGGATCTAATGGAGTATGGGTGATTCCTCAGACTTAGATTCTTTAGTTTTGTGGAATATCTGCCTGTTTGCTACAAAAGGCAAAGGTGAGATGCACAGAACACTGGAGAAACTTGGACACTTCAGCTAACTTTTAAAAGAACAAATAGGAGGGAAATGAGAGGGAAAGAGGGAATAGCTGACACTAAACAAAAGGAAAGAAATATACATATCACCCCATGTGGAAGAAATAACTATTGTCAAGGCTCATAGAATTCACAAACTTTGTAGACCATGATAAAGACAAATTGCCCCATGAAGGTTAGAATGTGTTTGTGACTTAAAATAAGTATGACTCTCTCACAAGACTACAAAATTTGTGAAATTTATGTAATCACTTATCACAATAAAAAATTAAAAAACAACAAATAGGAATCGGTGGAATGGAAAGCAGTTGTGACAGGTGGAAGGGAAGGGCAAGGCTGTTGAAAAGTTCAAGGCAAAAGGATATGTATTCTAGGAGGTACAAAGTCTCTGGCTTGTTTACATTGGAGAGATGACATATGTAAGACAGGGTGCCATTTTGGACACAGCCATTCTCTGCATTTCCACATATAAGGGCATCCTAAGTCATGATTTTCCTTCTTCCCCAGAGGAAGAGTGGCCCCTTTACTGTGATTTCAAGCGACTTGGAGCAACTCCCTCAAGGAGCTAACAACTGACACATTTTGAGGCCAGAACTAATGTCTTAGTGTTCCAAATTGGGAAGATAGACAAGATTAGAATCACTAAAGCTAACCTGAAGGAGGAAAAATATATTTAAACAGCCTTCCAACTCAAGAGTAAGATGTAAAATGATTACAGTTCATTATGCTTGGGAACTATTAAAGTCCTCAATTGTCATAGGGAAAATTTGAGGCTATTGAATTATGCTAGCATAAGCAAAGAACAGACAAATTTCTTGTATATATAAAAAAGTCTTTTTAAAAAAAACAAATATTCTTTGGACTATGTAAGTCTGTGATACTATATTTTGTTTTTCTTGGCTTAGTCTAAAAGTATATTTTTTAACATATTCTAACTTTTCAAGTATGTTTAAAAGAAAGTCGTTTCCATTGCAGATTTGGCTGAAAATCACTTCTACGTGAAGAAAATAGATGAGTACGAAAGTTCAACATCAGATTAGGAACTTGTCACTTGCTTAAAAATGTCCTTTTTAAAGCAAAGTGAAGCACACATATAATCCTTTAACTGCTATTTACTGTGAGAGACATTAACTTTAATTGGAATCTTCACCAAAGATGGATTGTTGGAAAACTTCAAAAGAATGTATTTGTACTTTATATAAAAATATAAATCAGAATTCCAAAAATCTGAATTTCTAAGCAGAGCTTTCATACTATAAAGGAAATGTCTCTTCCAATCAGCCTTAAGCCCTTAGGAGCAAGTCAGTTTCAATCTAATAAGATTTCCAAATATTTTAATACTTTAAAAAACTTATAAAGATAAATCTCATTATTGTCTATTTTGTTAAAAACTATAATAAAAGATTACAAAATTCTGAACCAGATTTTCCTGAGTATTGCCTTTCATGAAAGTTAAACTTTGATAAGGAAACTAGGAAACATGATTAAAATGTAATAGAAATGGGATCCACTAAGTCTACTCTAGTCTGCAACTCAGAAATCAAATCTTCATCCAAGAGATAATCCTTAGTTTTCCGTGCTTAATTGCTGAGACATTTGGATTTTTTAAAATAATCTTTAACCAAAGAGGAAAGGAACAAACACTGCAAGTAGCTAAGACCCACAGCAATTAATGAAGGTAAAGAAGATATAACTTGTATAATGGGAAAGAAAAGAAGTATAAGTGGACAGAAACATCAAGAAATGATCCAATGTGCTGTATTCACAAACTGCCATGTTGAATTGAAAGCCCTTTGTGCAGTTACTAAAGGATAATTTTTCTAAAAGAAATGAAATTAGGTAACCCTTTTCTCCCATTGATGGGGCCAAACTAGGACTCAAGAAACCACTGCAGGAGTAGACAACAAACTATTCTTTGGTGTCATAAGAAGGATCCATTGAGAATATTCCACACTCATGAGACAAAATATACTGAAGAGTCCCACTAGGAGAGAATTATTTGGAAACAAACCTGCAATGACCTACTCTTGCATCTCACCTCTCTTAATCCATCATTGCTTTAATCCATAGTGCTTATAACCATACAATGTGGAATCAATTAACCAAATTCTGTTCTTGTGGGCTTTCCATAATATCACAGGGAATTGTAAGTCATGCTGCCAGGGAATTTCATTATATAACCATTTCAGAATTCAAATTCAGTGTGCAAATATATATTATCTTTCCAGTCCTTCGTGTCAGCAAGATGAAGCAGTACAATTGCATACCTTTGATTGTTGAGCCTTTTGCTTTCTAAAGGCACTAATGGCTCACATGTGTAATCCTAGCTACTCAGGTGGCTGAGATATGCAGACTGAGGTTCTAAGCCAGCCCAAGCAGTAGACTCCATGAGACTGTTGTCTCCGGTTAACCAGCAAAAAGCAAGGAGTGAAAGTATGGCACAAATGGTAGAGTTGCTATCCTTGAGAAGATAAGCAAGATCTCAAGACTCTGAGTTCATGCCCCAGGACTGAGAAAAATTTAAGAATATCCATCATTTATTGGTGAAATCAATAGTTGATTATAACTGATTAATGTGCTACAAAGATTCAGCAAACAAAGCCATGTAGCCCAAGCTTCCCAAAGATTGAAGAAAGTCTATACCCACAGTATGGGCCTCCATTAAAGTTTCACATAGCCTCCTTCTTTCTGAATTGCAGGGCTAACCCTCGGAACTTTAATTTTGACAATGTGGGCAACGCTATGCTGGCATTGTTTGAAGTTCTGTCTTTGAAAGGCTGGGTAGAAGTGAGAGACGTAATTATTCACCGTGTGGGGCCGGTGAGTATGCACAGCTCACCTGTTGAATGCTTCTAATATGCCTTTCATTTACTTTGATGAATAATCACATTTTTCATTTACGCAGATCCACGGAATCTATATTCACGTTTTTGTATTCCTGGGTTGCATGATTGGACTGACCCTTTTTGTTGGAGTAGTTATTGCTAATTTCAATGAAAACAAGGTAAGCATTCTTGATTTAATCCAACAAAATGGTTTAGGGCTGTGTTTTTTTGTTTTGTTCTTTCCACACACAGCATGAAGTCTGGTTAAACTATACTATGACAGGTATAAATAATCTGTATCACTTTTTTACAAGTGACCTCCTTGAGGCCTTTCAGGCACACTAATTAAGAGTCCAGTTCTCTTGTTACATTTGCCCTTTGGGCAACAGTGACTTTAATTCCCTGGCAACTGAGAAGTAAGTCTCCTCTTGTTCACATGGAAAGGATGTGCAGCAAGTCACTAAAACACAATAGCTAAAAGGGAAGCACTGGTTGCAGGTGATAGCGTTTTCACCAAGTGTAAATTGCAGACCTCCTTTGTAACCCAGTAGGTAAACTCTGAATTGTGATGGGAAAGGGAAACAGTATGAAAAAGTTCAAATCCTAATTGATAGAATGGAAAGGAAATTTTCTAATTTCATATAAACTTTGTATACTCCATGAACTTGGGGTGAATGGTATTTGTAACAGTTCTAGGGATTGGTACCAACTTCACAAATGGGGAGACAGCAATGTAGTTTCCTATCAAAAAAAGTGAGCCAGGTGCCAGGTGCTCCCACTGTAATCTTAGCTACTCAGGAGGCCGAGATCTAAGGATAGTGATTTGAAGCTGTCTAGCCTGAAAAGTCCAGAAGACTCTTATCTCCGATTAACCACAAAAAAAAAAAACCAACTAATGGGAGAAGTGGACGTGGTTCAAGTGGTAGAGCACCAAGCTTGAGCAGAAAAGCTAAGGGACTGTACCTAGACACACTGAGTTCAAGCCTTAAGAGAACACCAAAAACAAAACAAAACCAAACAAAAGAGTGAATTTAGTGAAGAACATTCTATCAGCATTTCTTAGAGAGTTGCTTTTCTGGGCCCAGCTGATAAGTTCTGCCAGTGGAATCATAATAATTGAAGTGCATACAGGTTTTGAGCACTTACTGTATTCTAAGATTTTTACATACATTTCTATTAATTCTATAAAGCAATAATTTGTGGCTTGTAAGGAGTAAAGAAAAATGAGGTCAGAATTCTGATTTGGTCTATGACTGCAGGGTCTGTGATTCTTCAAATGGCAGAGTATAAAAACCTCGACCACAGAGCTAGAATTGCCAGCAAAGCACCTGCTGTTCCATGTTATTCATGGCTGTGGCAGATTCCCATGAGGCCACATCAGAGCTCTTTGGCTTCTGCAGCTACACGTGGGACTCTAGCATTCACTCTTCCGGGCTCAATGTGTGTGGTACCACTTACTCAGTCGATTGACACCTTTGATATGTGGCTAATGAGTATGGCACTTCATTCAGGCTTTCAAACAGTACAATTTAAAATCTCCCCCTTTGGGCCCCACGCTCTATGACCCACAGACATGGAATATTAGAGTTAGAAAGAAGGGTAGCAATCGTGTTGCATGGCCCCTCTACTTTACTTCCTAACACGTTCATAAGTGAGTTTCTCTAAGCCCTACGGTGTTTTCAGTTTAATACCAAGCAAAAAAAAAAGAGGGAGGGAGGTCTTTTTACATGCCTTTGAGCCAGAGATGGGAGCAGACATGGGAATTCCAGAATATGAGCAAACGCTAATCAGCCAATTAACAAGAGAGCTTCGTCTCTCTTGCAAACTAAGAATAGCATAGTGAACCCTGAGCTCCTGATTTCCAGGGAACTGGATCAAGTGGCAACTCAGAAGTCAACAGCATAAATGATTCACCATAACAGGAGACAAATAGATCATTCATGGCTGGTCTGCAGATTACCAAGGAAGTCCAGATCCAATGCTGGACGTTCTGAAAGAATCCGGAAGTCCCAGCCAGTCTTGGAGTATGGTAAGCAGCCCAAACAAAGGTTGACAGAAAACAGGAAATTAGACAGCATTTTACCAAATGTTACCAACTCGATTAGGATGAAAATAAAGATAAAGAGATCTAAGTTGTGTGAATCTTTTAGAAAAGACCTTGTCTGCAAGTTTTTAGATGGTTTCACATGAGCTGTATATCAGCATTTCTTCACCTACTTGTCAATCACTGAAGAGATTTATTTCAACATAAGGGAGGTGGCAGACACTGTCCTTGTCAGGAATTTCTGCCCTCATAGAACATACATGTTAGTGTCACACCCAGGATGTGGGAGTAGACTTCCGAGTAGAGAGATGGTAAATGTAGTAAGTTTGGGAGGCAGTGTTTTCAGATCTTCCTTAGAAAATGGAAACCTCTTCATAAAACTCCAAGACAGTAATATGAATTTTTTCTGGCTTCTCTACCATATGATAATGTTTGATTAATAGACTTACTTTGACAACAATAAACATTCAGAGATTTTTTTTTAGATATAAATGATAGCTCCTTTTATTCTCTTGATCCCTCTCTAAAATATCTTTGGTTTGTATAACAAAGGAATAATTTTGGTCTATTATGACTAGAAAATAAGTATTTATTTGCTGTTTGTGAGAAAAGTGACTTAGCAATACTAATATCAGGAAACGTTAAAGCAAACTGCATTATTAGGAATGAATGGTATAATGGATGAATGTCAAAAAGCTAATCACTAGGAAGATAGAAATCTCACATCTCAAGTCTACAAAAACAAAGTAAACTAAGTTCTAAAAGAACCTATCAAATCCAAAATCAGAGTGAAGTATATTAATATAGTTCGCTAAGAAATCATAAATGTGACAAAAATAGAATATAAGAAATTTGACATAGTGATATAATATTTTCAAGTGGAAACAAAAAAGAACCATGATTCCTATGATTTGAAAACATACAGGGGCTGGGAAGGTGGCTCAGTGGTAGAGCTCTTGCCTTGCATGCCTGAGGCTCTGGGTTCGATTCCCCAGCACCACATAAGCAAAAAGAAAAAAGCCGGAAGTGGTGCTGTGGCTCAAGTGGTAGAGCGGTAGCCTTGAGCTAAAGAGCTGAGGGACAGTGTGCAGGCCCAAAGTTCAGGCCCCATGACCGGACCCCCAAAAAAAAAAAAAAAAGAAAAAAGAAAACATACATTATTTTCAATTAGAAAATGGATTTTTCAAACTGGATAATATAAAGAACATGGTTCTAACCATAACAGCAAACACAGCAAAGCTTTTATAGCTTGCAAATATTAAGAGAGGGTTCTAAAATGATTTGCATTAAAGTAGAAATTATAATGAAACATCACAAAACCTTTAGAGATAAAATTGTTTCAAGTATCAACTGTAAATGAGCTGGTAATTAGAAAGTCTTCACTTTAAGTTATAGAAAAAGCAAATGTTAATATATCAAACATCCAATCAACAAATTGATATCAGAATAGCAAGAGGAAATGCAAGAAAGTATGAGAAATACAAATATTCAAGGCAGAAAATAATGATATTTTAAAAAAAGAAGAACTGTCTATACTTTCTTTTTTTTTTTTTTTTTTTAAGGATCACAGTTTGAAGCCAGCCCAGGCAGGAAAGTCTGTGAAACTCTTTTTTTTTTTCCTTCATTTTTTTTGGGGGGGTCCGGTCGTGGGGCCTGAACTCTGGGCCTGGGTGCTGTCCCTCAGCTCTTCAGCTCAAGGCTAGCACTCTACCACTTGAGCCACAGCACCACTTCCGGCTTTTTTCTTTTTGCTTCTGTGGTGCTGAGGAATCGAACCCAGGGCCTCGAGCATGCAAGGCAAGCGCTCTACCACTGAGCCACCTTCCCAGCCCCTCCTTCATTTTTTTTTTATTGTGAAAATACCATACAGAGGGATTACAATTACATGGGCAAGATAACGAGTACATTTCTTAAATACTTTCTAAAAAAGTTTAAGAAAAACAAAAGCTAGTTTAAGAAAATTGAACCAAAAAACTTGCAGTAAGGTTGAGCAAGAACAAAAATATGGAAAGGAAAGTAAGTCAATGGGAGTAATTACAACAGTGCTGGAGTTGGCACAGGATGAGGAGTTGGACTTAGAGAAAAGAGCAGACAGCTCAGAAAGGCTCAGGTGCACACAGACAGCACAGCATCAGCTCTCTCCAAGGGAAAAGCTGGACTGAGTCTCTGGCAAAAATAATTCCAGCCATTTGAACCCACATAAGCATTTATTTTAGATCTTGGAGTAGTTGTATGTTTGTTGACATCAGCCACAAAGTAGAGAAGTTATGAGTTAAAGGACATTGAAGTTTTTAATCTTGGTGACAAGAATCAAAAAACTCTGAGCTAAGATTGAATACTATGCTTGCAATTCACATAACTGACAAAAGATTCATTACAGATAGATAGATAGATAGATAGATAGATAGATAGATAGATAGATAGATAGATAGATAGATAGATAGGCAGAAAATATATAGGGATTAGGGAGTCCATCACATATAAAAATTTTCACAAAACATCAAAAAATCAAAATACAAAAATATGCAAAAACTCTGAATGTGCAGTTCACAGAGGCTGATAAAGGAATTACCATTTATACACATAAAATGCTTCATCTCAATAGTAATAAAACTGAGTTAGTCACATTTCATACCCATCAAAATGGCCAAATCAAAATGTTCAATAACAACAAACATTGGTCAGAATCGAAGGAAATAATACTTGTAAATTGTTGGTGGGAATTTTTCTGGGTTTTGGCTGTTGTTCTTTAGATAGCAACTTGGCTGTACCTGGTGAACATAAAGATGCTTACATTCCTAAATACCAGCAATATCCCTTCTAAAGAATTTTGTGAGTGTGTACCAGTCCCACAGCTTAAACTCAGTTCCCTGTATTCTAATTCAGCTTGCTTGCTCATGGTTAGTACTTTACCACCTGAGCCATGCTTTCAGACCAGCTTTTGAATGATGAAGTGGAGATAGAATCTTGTGGACTTGTTTTTTAACCTAAGCTGGCTTTGAACCATGATCCTTCCATCTCAGCCTCCTGAGTAGCCGGATTCATAGATAATAAGCCACCAGCACTACACTTCTTCTAGACATTCCTAATGGTGACCCTGCCATTGAGGTCTGTGGCTTGACAGTATTTGTGCATCTTGCAGCATTTATTGTAGTCATAAACTGACAAGGAATGATTTGTCATCTGTCAGTGCAGTGGACCACTCTATGTGAGCAGATTCAATGAACAAATTGGGTCAGTCTGTGACTCTTGTATGAAGAATATACCCTTCAATGAGGATAAGACAAACTGCATGAATAAACACAGACTATTTCTTGTGTGCTTAACTGTTACATAAGCACAGACTTCTGAAGACCAAGGAAGGCCAAAGCACCTGGAAGTCCAGCCATCAGCTCTAGGGAAGAGAAGTGAAGGCAGCAGTGACTTTGGGTCTTTTCTTCTTTCAATTTCTTAAATTATACTTCTGCCTTTATGACACAATACAATAACATGTAATTCAGTACAATACAATGTAATATAATTTATGTGCATTTTTATCAAGTGCTCTATTTTATAACACAGAATACCTGCTCCCACTTAGCAAATAATCGCCGCACTAATTTCTTAAAGAGGCAAAACCCATGACTTCATACCTCTTAAAAATAGTTTTGCAATTGCACATATTAGAATGTATTTTTTAGAAAAAAGAAAAATCTCCTTCACTAGAAGCATCGGCATTGACAAGCTATAATTTTGCCGCTATGAAATGAAAGTAACCATTATTAATATCTTTTTGTGAAAATATAATCAGGTAGAAAAGTTCCCACTTCTGAATATTACACGTGTTCACAGATACAAATGGAAGGTGCGGGAACATTCTGAAACATTTGTCCATCCTGTGGGGAAATGCTGTCCAGACGGATTGACAATTCTGATCGTGTGTCTCTAGGCACCATGGTGCTTGCAGAATATCTTTTTTGCAAGCCCCTGTGTTAGTGCTGTATGTGAAGCTACCCCGTGTGCAATGTTCTTTGCCTTTTGCTGTCTTCTTTCTTTGTCAAGGGAACGGCTCTGCTGACCGTAGATCAGAGAAGATGGGAAGATCTCAAGAGCAGACTGAAGATCGCACAGCCTCTTCATCTCCCACCTCGCCCCGGTATCAAAGATGTTCTGATTTTATTCATGTTGGCCAGTAGTGTTCACAATTCCCCCAGGAGCCTCAGATTTAAATTAAAATAATAATTGTGAGGCCACTAGGAGGTTGTGCATAAGTTAATAGAGAAACAGGCTGCAAACTGCAAATCTCTTCATAAGGCTATTAAAATCAACCGTCCATGGGCTGCGCTTCAACACACTTGAAATACACCTTAATGGGGGCAAAAAAAAAAAAAAACACTGAATTTTTAAATAAAATAGATTTGTGCTTGCCTTTTAAAAATATGAGTGAACTGCATTAAACTGACAGAAATTGAATGATGCGCTTTTCCTTCCAGTGCATCACGCACTGCTGTTTTAAATATTCAGAGCCAGCCATTCCGAAAAATGCTTCACAAGACATAGAGCTGGGGTGGGGGAGATGAGACAGGTTGTAAGATGAGCATTGAAGGCAAATGAGAGAAAAGAGTGAATGTGACCCTTGTCTAAACTGTCCTTGCCTAAACCTTTCTTTTCCAGATAACGATGGTTTTAGAGCGAAAATGTATGACATCACCCAGCATCCATTTTTTAAGAGGACAATTGCGCTGCTTGTCCTGGCCCAATCCGTGCTGCTCTCCGTCAAGGTACCTAATTCATTGCACCCTGAGACTCGCAGACGGAATTCATTGTCTGTTTCTTGGAGCCTCCAGTCATATCTTGCCGTCTGTGATAGCCATTTACCTCTCCAACCTTAAGAGATTCACCAGGCAACAGTGGCTTATGACTGAAATCCTAGCTACTCAAGTGACTGAGTTGTAAAGGGTTGTGGTTCAAAGTTAGCCAGGGAAAGTTAGTCCAGAGGCTCTTCTCTGTAATTAACCACCAAAATAATGGGAAGTGGAGCTAGGACTCAAGTGGTAAGGCAATAGCCTTGAGTGGAAAAATACAAGCCAGAGTGTGAGGCACTATGTTCAAGCCAGAGTGTGGGGCACTACGTTCAAGCCCCAGTACGGGCACACACACACACACACACACACACACACACACACACACACACACACACACACAGTTGCATTAAAATGGGCAGTGGAGCGGTACCCGGGTGTGTCTAGTGACTTGTGTGTTCTTCGGTTCCAGTGGGATGTGGAGGACCCTGTGACAGTCCCTTTGGCAACAATGTCGGTTGTCTTCACCTTCATCTTTGTTCTGGAGGTGAGTAGCCAATCGGTGGGCCCTGGGAGAGGCTGTGCACAATTTTAAAATAAATCACTGCCCCCTTTTGATGGCTGTTTGCCTTCAGCTCTGTTCTCCATTGCCTTTGAAGTCTTTGGGAAGGAGGGCCAATTTCTTTTAAGGCAATCCTCACTCCTGTGGACTGTTGTGTTTAAACCTTGGCCCGCCTACTTACGTGAGTTCAGATATTTAGAGCAAACGACGCACACTGCTGTAATTCAGGGATCCGAATTACAAATAGTTGGCCCAGCCAAGAGTCTTTTCATATGAGCCCTGTGTAATGTATCACTTTGCAGTGCAAGCTTTCTTGAAATACAAGTGGATTCTAATTTCACCCTAAAGTGCTTGGCGTTTCCCAAAATCTATTGGTTGTTTTTCATATGTTCTTGTTTTTCTTAAGGAAGAAAAGTGTCCCGCTATCTATGGAGAATATAGATTTGTAACCTACTGAGTTTATAAATAATATTATGTATTTATTACCTCCTTAAATAAATGGTATGTTTCGTTAAACTTAATAGATTTAAATATGGGTTTGACACTGGCCCTCTGTTCCCTTTATTCTCTTTCTCCAGGTGACTATGAAGATCATAGCGATGTCACCTGCTGGGTTCTGGCAAAGCAGAAGGAACCGATATGACCTCCTGGTGACGTCACTCGGCGTGGTGTGGGTGGTGCTTCACTTTGCTCTATTGGTGGGTGCATTGTTGAACTTTGTTTTACCTGGCAAATGTCAGTACTTAGTTCAGGCCTGGTGCCAGTCTTATTTCATTCCACATGGGTGGATCTTTGATGCTAGAGTAGCTTTCCTTCAGCCCAGCTTTGATCATGACTGGCCTTTAGACATGACTGTATGCTCTCACACGTGTGTGTATATGTGTATTACACCCACTCCCTTCAGTTAGGCAAAACCTGGACTAGAATGTTCAGATCGTTTCTTTCGCTAGTCCTCTATGTTCACTAGTTTGCCTACATTTCCTTCACTTCCATCTAGTCTAAGGTCCAGCTCAAACCTACAGCTATGAATGCATGTAACTATAATCTGGGGTGGCATTGTCCAATCAGAATAAAATGTAGCCACAAATGTCATTTAAATTTGTCTAAAAGCTACATTGATTTCTTAATAAATAAGTGATAGTAATTTAATATGGTATTTTCTAACCCACCATTACCAAAATATTATCGTTTTAATATGTGATAGCATTAGATAATACATTTTTTATTGACTCTGTTTTTTTGGGGGGGGTTGGTATAAAATCATTGAATGAGGGTTTTGCATTTTCACCACTTTCTTTCTTGGACTGGCCACATTTCTGCTGTGGCTTTGAATTGTATTGTGGCTTTGAAAGATCCAAGTCTCCTTTCCTCCATGTTCGTCCTTTTCCAGACTTGATCAAGTAATTTATCTTTGGTGATCCTTTGATCTCTACTCTGAACTGGAAGATACACATTCATAACACACCTATTTCCTATGGGCCTCATAAAGGCCACGTATGTAAAGTTTCCACAAACTTTAAAGAATATGAAACCTCATATTTTAAATACCTTTATTTTCAGTTTCACCAAAAAGTGAAATCATCCATTTTCCTCCATCCTTCCATATTCTTTTATATTAAAATCATGCTAAGAAAGACCCATAATACACAGAAACTGTTGACCTATCACAGGAGGCTTTCTGTGAAATTTCATGTGAAACTGCTGTGCTGATTATGTGTCCTCTTAAACCAGCGATTGCCTTTGGTCTGAGGGCTTAGTTGAGCTCTTGGTTCTTTTTCTCAAATCATCGATGGCTTGGATGTGTACCACACTGTGCCAAAACTGAGAAGAATGTGATGAGCAAAACAACGAGAGTCACTCCTCTTCGCTTGGAAAGCTAGACAGACATTTGCCACCTGCTCACAAAGCAGTGAGGAAGATGCAGTGGTGGAGAGTATACCCTCTGTTCCCCCATGTTCCTGAGACAACATGTAGGAGTAGGATTTGGGTGGGCAACGTCATCAGCGTTCCTCCAAGGCAACTTTGAGGGAGCAGTTGTGATTTGGTTCCATTTGTATGGTGTGGGGAGAAGGTTTCAGCCTGACCCCTCCCCCCAGGATGGAAGGTACGAAGGCTAGAAGGAGAGGCTGTTGTTTATCATGACTTCTAGAACAGACAGGCCCAAAGTATCTGGCCCTAGACCCAAGTTAACATGGAAAGAAGAGGCAACTGAGCCCATGCGCATTTTCCTTGTCTAGACAAATCTATAGCTAAAAGCTACTCCATCCAAGCAAAAGAATAGAGCAGGCTTCCTAATCTCTCATAGCTCCAGAGAGAAAAGTCTAAGCCACCAAGACCAACTTGCCTGTCCTACTTGACTGCTTTTGTTCCAAGAACCTCTGGTCTTGGATGAGTGATACTTCCCTGCCATATTTTTGCCCATGGACTGCTGGGAGGAAGGCACAGTTCCTGTCCCCCTTCCAAAGACGCTCTGTGTGTGCATTCCTGTCCTTGTACCTCACGGCAGATCTCGCCGGACCCCCTCTGCTGGGGCCCATCTGTGACTGCTGTCATTTGGCTAGGCAGCCTCCTGGAGAAGCACCATGCTTTGGCACCAGCTGAATGTCAAAGTTGTTATTTCAGTTGCAGCCGGTGGCATCACCGATTCTCAGAGGAAGTCTTCTTAGTCATAAAGCACAGCATCATCTCTTGTGGAAATCACATGCTTGAAGAAATAGCCGGCTGTGTTCTTGAGCAGGGCCATTCTTCCTGAAACCACCTTGGACTTGAATGTGTGGCTGGTCTTCAGAGAAGAGTGGGCCTTCAATATTCTTCCAGCACCAGCTTTTTTCCTTTGCAAGAACAACTTGATTTCCTGCCTCTCTTAGCTTGCTGGTGGACCATGCTTCTTCTGTGTTTTCCACACTCTGGTCTTCAAAAGAGGCAGTTACTGCTTTGTGTAAAAGAAGTTTCAGAATTCAGAATTCAGCTCAACAATGCGAAACCTAAAGTTTCATTTGAGATTTGATTTTACAGCTAATACTTATTCATGAGTTTTGGCAATGACCTTTTCAGCTCTTTTTTTAAGGTAAATTTCTTAGAGAGATTTTCCACATTTTATTAAAAGCAATTATTCAGTAGACTTCACAGAAAGCTTAAAATGAAAAGTGGAGCTGTAACAGGATCTTCTGTGCAACTTCTGAGATGTTGTCCTCTGTTTCAATTTCAGAATGCATATACCTATATGATGGGAGCGTGTGTGATTGTCTTTAGGTTTTTCTCCATCTGTGGGAAGCATGTGAGTATGTCGTATAAGGCCTTATTGAAGATCATATACACATTGAATAACGAATGCTTGCCAAGAGGCTTCAGCTATCCTGGGTGCTCAGGGCTGTGATCAACAAATTACTAGACATCATAAGTCAAGATTAATCAATATCAAACTCAACCAGTTGCTTAATTCTCTCGCGATATTCTTACCGTTTATGTTTAGTCTTCCTATTTGCTGAGTAAACGCAGGTATAAAACATAGCATATTGAATGTGAAAACAAAAATGATTTTCCCCAAGGTGCCAGAAGTTATGTTAAGTGACTTTATGGCAAACAAAAATAATCTTAGTGAACAGCTATATGAGTCCATGATTCTAGTTGAATTTCATTCTTCATTAGTATTTATGTGTACATTCCATCTATCTTTTTTCATTGTTTTAGAAATACTGTTTTGTGGCTACTGGCCCGTTTTCTCATACATGCATTCCATATGCCTACATAATCAATATATTGTATTACTCTTTAATGTTATACCATTATTTCCATTTGTTTTGTGAAAGTTTATAGGAAAGAGTTTACTTGCTTTAAATTAAAAAAAATGTGTAGCTGTTACCTAAGAACTAGAGAGCATGAGAAGAGAAAATGGAAGTCTAAGGAGATGGAAGTTATTTTTATTAAATTGGCTGGAGAGACAGAACAGTTTCAAGTATGAGTAGAATTTCCCAATACCTGGTGGTTTTTGAATTATACTTATACTTAATGTTATACTTAATGTCTCAGAGGAAGAAACTTTTGCCTGATAATCCTGAAGAGTCCCTCTTGAGCCACACTGTTCACTACCTAGCTCTTCTGCAGCTTGCTGACAGGATGCTTCCTTCCCTGTATTTCTTCCTCCCTGTCTCCCTGGACACACCATCCCTCCTCGTCTCCAGGTGACGCTGAAGATGCTCCTCCTGACTGTGGTGGTCAGCATGTACAAGAGCTTCTTTATCATAGTAGGAATGTTCCTCTTGCTGTTATGCTATGCTTTTGCTGGAGTGGTTTTATTTGGCACTGTGAAATATGGAGAGAACATTAACAGGTTTGTCTGTACTCACATGTCTACTCATTTTACAAGCAAATATTTTTAGTAATCCAATCATGAATGAAACTCTTAAAGACTGGGGTGTCACAAAAGAGAGTTCATTGGTTAGGAAATAAAATATCCAACTTTTAAATGTTATTTCCCAATTGTAAACACCATGAGTATTTACTTTAGAAACCCTAGACAATTCAGAAATAATAGAAAACAAAAAATATATAATTCTAACAGCCCTCAGAAATAACCACTCATAAGTGTGACACTTTTTCTGTGCATGTATTTCCCAAAAATAATAGAATTTTTAGATGAAAAATGTTGAGATTTCTTTTCAGGTAAAACGTGGAAAGGTAGAAATGCTCCCCCAGGTAGTTTTTACATGTGAAAAGTATTCTTTGAGAATTTTCTTAAATTGTATGAAAGCCTCTTGTGATAATTTTGAAGAGTCCCAATACAACTGAGTGTAAACAAATGTGTTTTGTAGAAGAATTATTCTTGTAACTACTCTTTTTATTTGATACACATAATAGTCCAGATGAAAGGAGAAGCCACTATTAGTCGCTGACTCTCACTCAGTCATTCAAGATAAATGGCAATAAACTGATTGTCTTATCAGACAGCTAGACTTGTAGAAAAGTAGAACTAGCTAACAAATAAAAGGGTCCAACCTTTGCAAATTTGTATTAGAATCCATCTATTTTGATTTTGACAAAACATACTGCTTCAAGTCAAACATTACTAGTCACATTCTTCTTTTCCCTAAACTAGGCATGCAAATTTTTCTTCAGCTGGCAAAGCTATTACAGTTCTATTCCGAATTGTCACAGGTGAAGACTGGAACAAGATTATGCATGATTGCATGGTGAATATCTCCTTTTCACTATCCCTATCTCAATTTACACTCAACATGAAACATTTCGGGAGAGCAAAACAATTGTTGAAGCCAGGTGCTGGTGGCTCACACCTCTAATCCTAGCTACTCAGGAGGCCGAGATCTGAGGATTTCCAGCCCAAGCAGGAAAGTCAGTGAGACTCTCATCTCCAATAAACCACTCAGAAAACCGAAAGTGGTGCTGTGGCTCAAGAGGTAGAGTGCTAGCCTTCAGCTGAAGAGCTGAGGGACAGCGCCCAGGCCCAGAATTCAAGCCCCATGACTGGAAAAAAAAATGTTGACTCATCCTTGTCATTACTCAGCCTCTAAATAATGGAAAGACTTTGAATAACCTGGATCTTGTGCTAGTCCGAAATATTCTATAGCAGTACCCTAGGACTATGATTATTCCTTATATAATTTGAATGTGAACTTACTGCATATATAGTCAGAAAAAAGTTAGGTTTTCTTAGCTAAGCACTCGTAGCTCATGCCTGTAATCCTAGATACTTAGGAGACTGAGATCTGAGGATCATGGCTCAAGGCCAGCTCAGGCAAGAAAGTCCATGAGACTCTTATATCCAATTAACAACTAAAATCCTGGAAGTGGAGCTGTAGCTCAAATAGTAATGCAGAACCTTGGGAAAACAAAACATACCCAAAGCTAAGGGACAGAACCAGACTCTAAATTCAAGCCCCAATACCAACACACACGCATACACGCATACACACATACACACACACACAATTTTTTTTAAATTAGCCTTTATAGTTTGGTTCTAGCAGCTACTTATCCCTTGGGATTTGTGGAGATAGCAGAAAGATTATCAAGTGGAAGAAAACAGTTCCAACAAGGGCAGTAAACTTGGGAATCCATAATACTAAAAATATAGCAGAAATGAAATATTCTTTTTATTATTTTGCTATAGATGATGTGGTCAATGCACATGCGTTTTCCAATATGATTTGAAAGTTAATTGTATTCTGTATGGTTACAAATATGCTCACTCTCTACATGTATTAGATATTTATATTCCTCTCCCTCTCCCTGGGTTCTCTCCCTCCCCACGGCCCCACAGGTTCAGCCTCCATTCTGTACTCCCGATGAATTTACATACTGGGCCACAGACTGTGGAAATTATGCTGGTGCACTCATGTACTTCTGTTCATTTTATGTCATCATTGCCTACATCATGCTGAATTTGCTTGTAGGTAAGTGATGTTCACTGAATCTTTTTTCATCTCTTTACACTCAGGTACTTAGATAATTATGTACAATTTTCAAGTAATTATCCTGGATTGCTTGGGGAGGCTGTTTCTTGGCATTAATTATAAATTGTCGCCTCTTAGTCCTGAAGCTGAATCCGCATGTAAATGACAGTTGATTACAATTTCAAGAGTTGTACTATTTGAGATGATCATTAATTTCAAAAGAGCTCTTCCCAGGGGCTGAGTTGAACAAGTGTTGGGGATGTCGACCTTTATGGCCTAGCAATGTCACATTTTTTTTGAAAGATCTGCATGTTCACTTATCACTGGTGCCACCCAGAACCCCATATGACCTTTAATATCCACCCACGGACTCTAAACTAGGAGTTGCGCACACGCACAGAGCATGCATGCATGACCCTCACGTTTTTGAAAGGCACGAGCAGGATAAATAGCTTAGTCTAAGTATGAACCCACCAACTTGGAAACGATACTAAAAGCACTTTCAACGTTTGGTTTTTATAATATGAGTGAAAAAGTCTTCTATGATTTATAATAGATGTGTTACTTTTTTCTAGAAGAAAATGACCAATTAACTTCATTGTCTAACTTCTGAATTTTTCTTTTTTCAAGCGATAATTGTGGAGAATTTCTCTTTGTTTTATTCCACTGAGGAGGACCAGCTTTTAAGTTATAATGATCTTCGCCACTTTCAAATCATCTGGAACATGGTGGATGATAAAAGAGAGGTAGGAAAATGGGTCATCGCGTTGAGCTGCACCCCAGATAGCTACTGATACATTGCAAATGATTCACTGCTCCTGTTGGCGATTGACATATGTTGAATTGGGAACGGCCACTGTGGAATGCCAAAAAGCTATCACTGCCAATTCAGCCAAGTAGGGGGAAAGAGAAATTATTTCTCATGGTTGCCACTGCCAACCATGAACACCTTATCTTCAGACCTGTAGGAAGAAAAGGGTCATGCATGTGTATAATCCCTATCATTGTGTGCCCATTTCTGACCTACTGTGTGTGTATAGAGGGGAATGGGCTACTGAGCCTAAGCCTTAAGTATTGGCCCCATGAGAGAGCCAAGGTAGAGCTTTCCTCCCTGGCTGGCTCCCGATGCAGTGATGATGAACTTAATGCCCCACAGAACCAGAGGAGCAGAAATGTATTGTTAGTGCTTTGGCTCCTGCTCCTGTTAGGGTATCGTTCAGCTCAGCTACCAGGGAGGCCAGCTATTCTTTTCCTGCCTGGTTCTAGTTCTACTTCTTGGTTTCGAGAAGTAGTTGCTGTTTTCCATTCTGCTTTTCCTCTTTGTCAAGACATCCAGGGGAGGCTCCTGGGCCTCCAGATGGCTTACCAGTCTTTGCTCTCCCCGCCCCCAGGGCGTGATCCCCACTTTTCGAGTGAAGTTTCTGCTGAGACTGCTACGTGGGAGGCTGGAGGTGGACCTGGACAAAGACAAGCTCCTGTTTAAGCACATGTGCTACGAGATGGAGAGGCTGCACAACGGGGGCGACGTCACTTTCCACGACGTCCTGAGGTAAGAGGCAGGCTGCGCTTCCCAGCCTCCCAGGGCTGAGGTGCACTCCAGGAGCCACAGCTGCTACGGTCCTCAGAGGCCTGGGATAGTCATGAACAAGTATGGTCTAACTCTAGGTTGACACATTGCTATGGTTGTAAAGCAAGGTCACACTTTCCAAGCTTGAAGTGGTATTTCTCACTATCCCGTGATAATTATCAGTGACTGGAAGGGAAGGGTTGAGAACCAGTGACCGAATCACCCATAAGAGCAGACAGAGAAAGGGCCAGGGAGAACTCCATGCTTCCTGCCAGGATGAGGGAGCTATCCTGTGGCAGCTAAGTACCTGCTGTGCTCACCGTACCAGGGCCCCATAGGACTGAAGTCTGGATCCTCTCCTTTAGATGGGACTGGCAAGAATGTTCCCAGCCTGTTCAGTCACTTACTTCCCATTGCATAGAACACCCCATCTTCCAGACACCGAATGAGCATCCAGATAGGACAATGAGTTAAACCATACGGGCTTTATGTTTTAGTCTCTCTGAGAACCTTGTGCATTCGTTTCCTAGAGCTGCTGTAACAAAGCACCACCATTAGCTGTGTGATTTAAATAAAGGAACATTGTCATCCATGTTTCTGGAGGCAGGAAGTATAAGATCAGGGCATTGGCAGTGTTACATCCTTCTGGAAGAAATGGAACCAGGCCTTCCTCTAACATCTACTTTTTTGCCAGTGTTTAGCTTCTAGAGAAGTACCTCATCTTTGCCTTTATGGGCACATTGCAGTGTGTGTGTGTGTGTGTGTGTGTGTGTGTGTGTGTGTGTGTGTGTGTGAGAGAGAGAGAGAGAGAGAGAGAGAGAGAGAGAGTGGGGGGAGGGGGTGTCCAAATTCTTCCTTTTATAAGAACACCAGTCATACTGGATTAAGGCCAAACCTATAATCAGATCATATCTGCTGTATTGGGCATTAGGACCTCAATATATTTATTTTGGGGAAACACCTAACCCATCCTAACTTCTCAAACAAGATCTCACAGGTAAAACTTAGAAGCCTATGATTTGCAAGATAAAGCAATGTCCTGATTTCCAGTTGTTGTTCCCCAGAATGCAGCATTTCCTCTGCTGATGAATGTAAGCAAGAAATCAGGCAACATTAACACTGTGCATATTTTTGTCAATGATACCTTGAGATATCATCTGTGCTCTCCAGAATTTCCAACTTGTCCTAGTCATGTGACCCCAGCTGGATGTTATTATTTCCTGAAACAATAAGAAAGGACTTTGCCACTCTATCACCCTACTACCTTTGCAAAGAGACTAATTAGAGAAATGTATTTCAGTATCCTTAGTTTCCTTCATAATGACATTTATTTCATTGTACAGATTGAGAACACCATTCTAAAAAATGTCTCCATAGACTCTATTGCTAGAGGCATCCACAATGCAGAAACACTTAAGAAAACTTTTTTAAATTTTTTTTAAGAATCCTTCTATAGTACTAGCTATTTTAAGCATGCTGAAGTACCTGACAAGTTAAGTGTTGGGTATTGTGTTGCAAATTTTGGGAGCACTCAGGTGTGTAAAAGTATACAGAAGCTATGAGATGAACAAAGACCAGATCTGAATAGGAAGGATCCTAGGCATAGTTCCCCAAAGTTATCTATTTTATCTCCCACTATCCATTTCTTCCTTGAACAAGCTAAAAGCCAGCAAAAGATGCATCCAAAAATTCATATGAATGGCCAAGAATGTTAGATCTCAGGAGGTGAGACTTTGCTCAGTGGCAAATTATTTTTAGGTTGACTATGAGACACATAGACATACTGTTGTCACTAGTAATTAGCATCCAGCCTCCGTGAGCACAGTGGTGAATTCAACACAAACAGATCCAGACAGCATTTGTGGAGGCAGTGTTGCCCCTCCCTGTTCCTCTAACCTAGGTCATAGTACAAACAGTTGCATAAGGATCAAGTTTTTGTTGAGCAGGAGATGGGAAGAGCAAATGCAGTTTTTCCTTCCATGATGGAAAGAGATTTAGTAAAGAAGAAAAGCTCAGTGTCCCTGATCCTCAGAAAGCCCTCATGTCATGGCTTGGTGAATCTCATCTGACAGTACGAGGCTGAATGCAAATCTGGGATGCTGGGACTGTCTCACACCGAAGTGCACCATGTTGCTGGATGAGTCTGTGTTCTCTTGTGATTGTGGACCACGCAGCTGTGACGTGCTGTGTGGCATTATACTACCCTCTGGTCCCCGATGCAACTTAGCAGCTGTGTTAGCTTCACTCGCCACTATCCGATGACCTTGAGCCAGGAGCTAAATGGGAGCAAATGTTCAGTTCTGCTTTTGCATCTTCTAAAATTAATAAGGAAGACACGGAAGACTAGATGAGGTAAATACAGGACAGGGACCCAGGCAAGCCCAACTCACATACTAACCATCACCATATGTCGCTGAACAGATATTAACTGGCTTCAGCACTCAGTAAAACAGGAACCAGGACTGCTCTGGTACTATAACCAGACCTACTCAGATAAGGGATGGGGCTAAAATGTTATACTGGTTGGATTGAGTAATGATGTGCTCTCTGGGTTCTGAAACATCGAAGGGTCTAAAGCCATGTAAATTAGATCTGAGATGCTGCTGTAACCCCCCCCCCCCCTCCCAGCATGCTCTCCTACCGCTCTGTGGATATCCGGAAGAGCCTGCAGCTGGAGGAGCTGCTTGCTCGCGAGCAGCTGGAGTACACCATAGAGGAGGAGGTGGCCAAACAGACCATCCGCATGTGGCTGAAGAAGTGTCTGAAGCGCATCCGGGCTGTGAGTGCACCCCACACCCCACACGTGTGGCTTCACCCCCCTCCCATCCATATACGGGCCAAAAGAAAGTTTCACCACCTCCTCCTCCCTTACCCCTGTGCTTTTAGCTACATCAGCCATCCTCACCACATCCAGGACCACAGTCAATGCTGCTGCAAACCTTCTCCCAGTTTGAATCCAGCATGTTTTCTTTAGCTGAGTGCTTAATGTGTTTCTGTGTAGCCATATTTTAGAAATATTACGGAAAGCTTCAAAGAGAAGCTGATAGATTCTAAAACATTTATGATCTTCGTTTACTAAACTGTACAAAATTCTAAAACACACCTACTGAGACTTGAATGTATGGAAAGTGCTTCTACGTGCTTCTAAGTGCTTCTAAGAAATTCCAACATGCAGCTTATAGTTGATACTGTTGCTTTATCTCTAAAGACCACCTCTCATGGGATTTTAATGGTCTATTGCTACATCCTGAACTATAAGCTTCTAAGAGCCTTTGACTTTTGACTTTTAAATTAACGAATATATACTATCTTGGTATACGGTGTGTCTACAGTGAGTATTTCTATTCAGTATTGACTTTTGTGAATGTTTTTTACTTATTCTTCACATACAGAGAAGAAAATAGAATTCATCACTAAATAATTAATATATGACAAATTATATAGATATATATTCAAAATTCCACCAACAACCACAGAAATATGGCAGAGGGAAAAGGCTCCCCAGAGGAATGAAACTCCCATCCGAGCAATTAGTATAAGGCCAGTTGCCCACTGAGGCCTGGTGCTGCTGTCTACTATGGCCCAGGGAGCCCATGAGTCCCCTACAGGCCCTGAGAGAACACAAAGATTTCTGGCTTCGAACCAAGAGAGACCGGCTGCTGAACTGGCCTATTGGCACAATCCAGAAAAGGGAGTAACTTCCCTTTTCCACACCAAGGCTCTTTCCCACTTGCAACTTTCAGGGAAGGAAAGACTAACATTGGTTTGATGATCATACATTAAAATAAGAAGGGAAAAACTAGAGCAACCACGTTAGTCATTTTAAATAACACATCAACGACCCGCAACAAGCCTAACTAAGCCTTCTTTTACATCTGTCTGCTTGATTAGAGAAACTAGTTCAGGATCCTTAGATGGAGGGTCCTAAGAAGTCAGCCATCCTAGATTCCTTTGGAGAGGGAAGAAGAAAATTTGACTTGAGTGAGTGGGGAAGAAGTACTGGTTTTCTTTTCCCTTACTGAAAGACCACCATGTTCCCATAGAAACAGCAGCAATCCTGCAGTATTATCCACAGCCTGAGAGAGAGCCAACAGCAAGAGCTGAGCAGGTTCCTGAATCCTCCCAGCATTGAGACCACTCAGCCCAGTGAGGACGCACACGCCAACAGTCAGGATCACAATACACAACCTGAGGTAGGTATGACATGAAGGTTCCTAGGTAGTCTGTGAGGTTCATTTTTTAGCAATAACAACAAAAAGAGAAATTGGTTCTAGTTACATAGCCGTGTCCATGCAGGTTTGTTTTGGTTTTACCATTCAGGACTCGGTTGAGGTAACTTACAAAAACCCTGATTTGAATAGTAGTATGTTCATCATCTTTCCTCACCGTTATAACATACCTGAGATTCAACTAAAAATGAGAAAAGGTGCTTGCATCATTGCTCCAGGACTTGAGCTGAGGTAATACAACATGGTGGAAGTACAGGACAAACATGCTTCTTGCTCTTTGGAGGCTAGGAAACAAGACAGCAGGAAGGGGATTATCAACATCTCCTTCAAGGGCATGCTCCCCAGTGGCCTAGCCTTCCATTAGGTCTCACCTCTTACAGGTGCTGCCAGCTTCCAGTATCATTAGTCTTAGACTAAGCATTCAACATGTGGCTTTTAGTGAGCATTCAAGATCCAAAATACAGTACCTAGATATCATTAAGTGTTAATGGCCTGAGTATTATTGTTGTTATTATTTTAGACTTTGTCGAAAAGGTTAATATCACCTCTGAGGGTGGAACTGGAAGCTGGAAATAGAGTCTACCTCAGAATTAGCATGGTTTGCATGCTCTTTCTTCTCCTCGGCAAGTCGTAGACATTTGCAGTAAAATCAGCACAAATGTTTTCATAGCCCCTTCAATAATCAGGCTCACGGAGGATTTGTCCTTTCTTAACTGCACATCACGGAAGCATATGGAATCAGAAATATGGCGTGAGGAGCTTCTATTTACCAAACCCAGTCTATTTTTACTTCTACACTCAATCTACACGACTATAAAGAATGGCAGGAGCATTGCTCAGCATCCCGGGGAGACTGTGCCATGAGGAGCAGCTGGCAGGGAGCTCCCGCCCCTTTACGAGGCTGCAGTAATGACTGGAATAGGACTCGAGGGAGCTTATCCGGCATTCTGCAGAGCCCCAACACCTCTAGAATCATGGCTTGGAGCAGCACAGTCAGGGCTCAGAGAGACACTCGGAAGTGTCAAGTTCCATGGCCTGCTGGGGAGCTCCAGAGGCTCGCTTTTGCCCTGCCTCAGTCTGGAGTGAGTCCATACTGTCACTTTCTTTCCAGCATGAAGAAATCACCTGCTTCTGTCTGCTTCACACACGGTCAGGAATGGGGACAGGACCTTGAGACAGGACCAACGTGACAGGGGAGAGTAACGAGTGCAGAGTTCTGACATTAAAAGTCCAAGAAATATCCCAAAAGCCAAGAGAGGGAATACTAAGGCAAGGTGAAGACTAAAGTGTTGACTAAGGAGGTAATAGGTGAAGTGGAGACTAACTAAAGTGTCTGGGAGACATCAGTCTGAAATTCATCAGCTTTGTTCTCTGTGGGTACATGGTTCTGTGCTGAAGCACTTTTCTTTCTTTTCTTTTTTTTGGGGGGGCGGGGGTCAGTCATGGGGCTTGAACTCTCGGCCTGGGCACTGTCCCTCAGCTCTTCAGCTCAAGGCTAGCGCTCTACCACTTGAGACACTGCACCACTTCTGGTTTTCTGCTAGTTTATTGAGGATAAGAGTTTCACTACCTGGGCTGGCTTTGAACCGCAATCCTCAGATCTCAGCCTCCTTAGTAGCTAGGAGTACAGATGTGAGCCACCGGCCCCCAGCTGAAACACTTTTCTTTTGAGTTTCATGTTTCCTGCTCTAGGCTCCCCAAATTGGCCACTCCTCACCTGCTTCCTTCCTACACTGCCACCATCCCTGTTTGCCAGCCAAGGTAGAAAAGGTCCAGGCATCTTCAAGTATGAAGGGAAAGAGTAGTAGGTACTGCTTAGGAATGACAAAGGAAAGGTCCTACCTAAAGGACTGGGTCATGTTGCTGTGCGCTGGTGGCCCAGTGGCTTTCCTCAACAGCTTTTGCCACATTTTCATATCTCCTTTCCCTCTTGTTAACACTGCTCCTCCCCTTTATTCTTCCTATTTGTTTTCCTGCCATGCTTTCCCCTTCTCATTACAAAATGAAGAGTCCAGACTAGGGACTGAGAAGGAAGATCATAGTAAGAGCCATAGCTTCTTCTGTGAGATCAATTTTTTTAACATCTACACGAGAGTGAACAAAGCTCACTCAGTATCTGTTTTTCTGTGCCTGACTGACTTCATTCAACATGATGTCCTCCGGTTCCATCCACACTGATAGGTTCTGGAGTTCCATAGCACAATAGGATGACTACAGTCTACCACAAGGTCTGAAAATATGTCAGCATAAGTAGAAGCCAAGTATCAGTGGCTCATGTCTGTAATCCTAAGTACTCAAGAGGCTGCGATCCAGAGAATGGTGGTTCATGGCCAAAACGGGCAGAAAAATCCACAGGACTCCATCTCTAAAACAAGAAGTCAGACTGGAGTTGTGGCTCAAATACTGTAATGCCAGTCATGAACAAAGAAGCAAAAAGAGAGTGCAAGGTTTTGAGTTCATACTCCAGCACCTGCCAAATTATAGATAAATAAATAAATTCAAAAAAGTCCATGGCTGTAGAAATAAGTATTTGAGGAGGTGGAAATACTAATTACCCTGACTTTGTCATTATACATTATAAATTATACTGTATCCCATAAATACCTACAAATACTTTGTATTGAATTGAAAAAAAAAACATAAAATAAGAAGTTATAACTTAATTCCTCCCCCCCCCCCCCCCCCCCCCCCGCCCAGACAAGCAGCCAGCAGCAGCTTCTGAGCCCTACTTTGTCGGACCGTGGAGGAAGCCAGCAAGGTGGAACTGAAATTGGGAAGCCCCAGAGGAAACTGGGACAGTGGCGGCTGCCATCTGGTATGTACATGGGTCCTTTCTCTATCAGCGGATCATTGAAAACGTACTCAGCATGTTTTTGTATATTTTGAGTCTTAGGTTTCAAGGTCTGTGTTAGTTGGCTTTTGTTGTCACCAATACCCAAGATAATCCTCTTAAAAAGAGGAAATGTTGATTTTTGGCTTACCCAGCTGGAGTGTCATCACAGTCATTGGTCCATGGCTTTTGGCCCTGTAGTGAAGCATCAGATCGTGGTGGGGAGGTGTGGTGGGGGAAGTCATTCATCTCACCAAGGCCAGGAAGCAAAGAGAAAGAGGAAGAGATTGATGTTCCTCTTTCTCCTTCCAGGGCAAGTTCCCCTGGGTTTAGAGATGTGAACTTGTTGATGACAACATTATCTACAGGTTATTGAGTAGACATCCAAGCCCTTCACTTGGAGACCTTCAGCCACATAGTTTCCATATGCTCACTGCTCCTTTCTCTCAACTACAATATGCCTCCTTGTCCTTTATTGGTTACTTTTATATGTAAATGCGAATCCTTACCAATGACACATATTTCTATGACATTTCTGTTTACCCAAATTGTTAGTCTCATTTTCTAGTTTATAATTAGCTCAAAGTGAAAAGGCCCAGTAATGTGTTTTTTCCAAGTCTTCATAAGCATAGTTTAAAAATCTGCAATAAAGAACTAAATGTTGGAAGGGCTTCTCATAGAATATTGAGCAGTAGGACTTAGGAGACAAAAGAGCAATGGACGGGGATAACATTGTTCACCAGGAGGAACTGTTGTAGATGCCTGGAGTAGTATTATGTTGCTCAGGGGACTCTTATTAATCCACAGCACCAAGACCAACAAGCCAGCCAGATCAACCCCCAGTCAACACATGGTCGGGAGGGAGAACAACAATGAAATCAGTTGTATGCAAGATGAACCCAATGCCAGACACGGCTTCCTGTGGCTCCGAGGTTAAGAAGTGGTGGACAAGACAGCTGACCGTGGAGAGTGATGAAAGTGGTGACGACCTTCTGGACATTTAGATGGCAGAAGGAGGTCTAGTGGTGAAAATTCTGTTCTAATATTTCCCTTCATCACCCAGTGAATAATTCATAATCTATATACAATCTCATTCCAATTTGGCACAAGATTTTTTTAAACTGATTTTTGTCCAACCATAGAACAGTATAAAAATGGTTCTAACAATGCTGTGTTATGTGTGTGTGATCCATTATTATCATGTATTCAAGAAAATTTGGAACTAGGGGTGTCCCTCAGTGGTCATGTGCTTGCCTAGCATGTACAAGACCCTGGGTTCAATCCCAGAACCATAAAAAAAGAAAAAAATATATATATATCTAATGGCAGTATTGATAGTATTAAAAATTATACCAACAGCAGATAAAGATAATTTAAATATTCTATATAATCTGTCTGTGTGAACTGAAGTGTGTATTTATATGTACTCTTTGGCATTATCACTACCCCCAAAAGAGTGCTAAGCCCAAAGTGGCTGCTACTTGTGGTACAGAAGTTACAGCTTTGGTTTGCTTCCCCACCTTCTCCCACCCTGATTTCCACTAGAAATATTTCTCTTGGGAGAATATATTATGTATGATTGATCTGAAAAGGTCAGCACTAAGCTCATGCTAAAATAATAGCAGTTTCACAAACTATAGATTCTGAATTTTTTAAGTATATTCTTTTTCTCATGCAATTAAAAAATTGTGACAAGATATGAGAAACTAAAACAAATTGATTTCTGCCCTGTTACTCTAATGAAAATTTACCTAGTTCAAGAAAAGTCTCTGTGCTGGTCCCAGGCAAAGGAGTTGACCCAAGACACTAACGGATGTAAAGCAAAAATGTAGATACATCCCTTGGGGCCATGGTGATCCAGAAGATGTTATTTATTTGAAAGACTTGATAACAGAGATTCACAGAAAGGGTAAAACTAATTCAAATTATTTTAATATTTGCATGCATGTTATTTTTAATTTCTTTTTTATTCTTGTTTGTTTTTTTGTACCAGTCCTGGGTCTAGAACTAAGAGCCTGGGCTCTGTCCCTGAGCTTTTGTGCTCAAGGATGGTGATTTACTACTTGAGCCACAGTTCCACTTCCAGATTTTTTGGTCTTTAATTGGTGATAAGATTTTTACAGCCTTTTCTGCCTGGGCTGGCTTTGAACCATGATCCTCAGACCTCAGCCTTCTGAGTAGCTAGGGTTACAAGCATGAGCCACTGGTGCCCAACTGTTTCATTTTTTACACAAGGTGCCATGAATTAGTAAAGAGTCCCAACCTACCATCACTGTGTTATATTAAAAATGATTCCCTTCTACCATAATCTCTTGTGGAAAGAATGGTGCCCTGCAGAACTCTTGCTCCAAACTCATTTTGGTACCCCACAACCTAGCTTTATATTTTTTCACATATCAGTGGACTATGTCCTCAGGGAAAATTAGAAGTGAGAAATAATTACAAAATAATTATGGTTGGACTCTTGTGCTGGGTCAAATAAATAAAAATTAATTTTGGCCTTAACTATATTATTATTATTATTGATTGGACATTTGTGGTTCAGGTTGACTTTTAACAGATCAATTATCTAAGAATTCTTTAACTCCTAGGTTACTTTCTGGTCTCCTTTTCTCTATTTAACATTCTCCAAATAGTCAAATATCACATTCCTTCTGTATGGAGAAGGTGACATTATGGTGACAGATCACAGTGATGGCCTGTCATTTATATGGTTAAGCTATGACAATTCAAGTCAGTGTATCCAAAAGGATATTATTTTGTTTTATGTTCATTTAAAATTTACTTTTTGTACATAAAAATAAATAATGAGTTTATAAAAGAGTGTATGCTGAATTGATCATTTTTCAATCCTTATGCATGTGGAGAAGGGATCTAGGTAGCTGATAGTTTGCAAGTCTTATCATAAATATTGAGTTCATAATTGGTTGGCAAAAATCTCTGCCATTTATACTTATTCTGTGAGCCAGAACGTTCCTTTCCCCTTGGTACCAGGTAAGGCTGAATGAACACCCTGTGTCTTCAAGCCCACAGAGAAGCAGATGCACTTCCATGCCAGGACATGGGTCTGTACTGGTGTCTCATAAAAATACAATTATTTTCTTGGCACATTACACTTGAGCAAGACAGCTTCATTCTCACAAAACTGCCGAGCTCTTCCTAAGACGTCTGTAACTGATGCTCAGGGGAACATTATTGTTGCTCATTCTAAGTAGAGCAAGGACAGAATAGTCATGCATTTAAAGCCACAGAACCCTCCATGTTCAATTAAGTGAAGTAAACACATCTGGAGGGACTGGATCCTCTGATTTTCCTGAGGTTGTCAGAATAGATGCATGTCAGAGAAGATACATGCTGCCCTCTTTAGATTTTACCCCTTGCTACATGAACAATATAGGGACACAGATAGGACAACATGGACTACAAATGTCTCTGGTCCTTAGAGAACCTGTCATCGCACCACCTATTGCCTTTAATTCGGGAGCCATAGGTCCAAGGGCATCTGAAAACCCGAGAGGTAGAATACTGTATATAGAGCTCCCAAAAGAAAATTGACCTCACATGCATTGCCCAATTCAAGCAGACCCAAAGGAAATCGGGTGAAAGCTGACAATGCTTACTCCATGTTTTGTGGTGGTTCTAGACCAATGCCCATCACTAGGCACTGACTGCTTGTGCCCTGACTGGGCTGAATGAAATAATGGCACCAAGGACAAAGATCACCATTATACAACCTTATACAAGAGCAGTTTCTTAACCAATGAAATGATACAGTCACCTGTTTATTTCCTCATTAGAAATGGCACACTAGAGATCTCAAGAGATCTCAAAACTTTAGCAAGGTAAAAGAAGAATAACACTACTAGGACTTGGGATGAAGACAAGAACTTGTCTTTCTCACACTCTTATGAATTGAACCACATACCCCCAAATATAGGTTGAAGTCACCGCCCCTGCCACCTATGAACGGGACCTTACTTTGAAGTAGGACATTTGCAGAGTTGATGTGGGCCCACACTAGAGCAGGGTACCTTAATCCAGTAAGGCTGATGTTTTCTAAGAAGGGAACATTGGATGTGTCAGCACATGCCTTTGCTCCTCAGAGATAGAGATAAGAGGACCTCACAGCTCCAGGCAAGCCTGGACAAAAGTACAAGACACCCTACTTGAAACACAAACTAAGAGAAGGAAAAGGACTGGTGATGTAGCTCAAGTTGTAGAGCTCTTGCAAGCACAAGGTCCTGAGTTCAAACCTCAATATTTGAGACATACAGGAGAACACTGTGAAGACAGACATGAGGAAGAAGGCCACAAAAAGATGGAGGCCAAGATTGGAGTGCTGCCACCATCCGGGGCTATGGGAAGCTGTGAAAAGTTTCCTCCCTACAGGTTTCAGAGGGAACACAGCCTTGACAAAACGTTGATATTTCAACTTCTAGTCAGCAATATTTTGAGAAAACAAATTTCTATTGTTTCCTGCCATTCAATTTGTGAAATCTTGCTAGAGTAACTCGAAGATACTAACACACTCAACTCACTTCATCCCCCACAAAATGGCCCAAATCAGGGCAGATGGATAGCTTAAGGGTCCCTGGTTATCAGGGCAATGGACATTATCAGGGTTCGTAATCATTCCATAACACATAATACTTCCTGACCTTCAGAGAGAGATTACTAGATGATAAGTCAAGTAAATCCCATTAGAAGGGGATGATAGATGCTGATAAAATTCTTGAGGCCAAACAAGTTAATGCCAAGTCCTGATAACTAGGGGATTCATCTGGCAAGTAGAGCCCTACCTCCACCAACTACACATGTACACAAGACAAGAATGATGATCGATGACCTTACACTGACCTCTTAGCCCTATGGTACCTGGGACCTGGATTAGAGAATTTTCATTCTCTATAAGAGCATATTAGATTTGCCTGTGGTACATAGCTTCACCTGTTAATCAACCTATCCATCAGAGAAAGGAAAGGCCACACCTGACACTGACCAGTTAAAACTCCTCCAGCCAAACAAACTACTGGGACTCTGGAGCCTTGCTTGAGCATCTGGTCCCTTACAGTATATTCCATTTCTCACTTTAATAATTTTTTATCATTTTCATAATAATTTGGGTCTTGTTTGAATTCTTTTCATACCAGCGGCAAAAGAATTGAGGTTTAGCTGTCAAAATATTTCCATATTATAAGATTTAGGTATATATATTTGTTTTTGTGACACATTATGAGGTTACTCTTCATTGAATTTCTGGTAACAAAATAAGTGATAACAAGAGCCTGGTCTGACAAACACCAGTATAGATTACAGATCCTGAGTATTGGAGTAGGACCAATTTTTTACCTCCCAGATTTTTCTGGTTATTTTCTATGCAATCTTGCTTTAAAAAAAAAAAGGCAGGAGAGGAAATTTAGTCATTCTTTTACTTGAGAGAGTCACAAAGGCTATTCCTGAGGCTTAGTCTAAGCAAACCAGCAACATACTCGAAATCATTAACCAGCTAACTATATGCCCTTCCAGAATCTGCAGTTAGCCAGTTGTTGGTCTTTGGTTTTTTTATTTTCAGCTTAGATTATAGTCAGGTTTGGAAATTTCCACAGGACGGAATTGAAATGGTGAGTTGATTTGGAGACAATTCTTTTCTTTAATCAGCTCAACCGCCATGGGGAGCATTTCTATAAAATATCTTTATAGCAATACTCCAAAAATACACCCCAAAATTATTTGTTAGCATTCTCTTCTTACAATTTCCTCTTCTTCATTCAGCTTCTCCACAGGGTGACATCTGGGTAAAGAGATAGATATTTGAAAAGAAAGCATCCTGAAACTTTAGTGTTCCCTTTACTGTGAGTCTTTTGAGTCCCTCGTAGTGACTCTAAGTCAGAAAAATGTTGGCTTTGATCCCTTCAGGGATGTGTGAAAACAAGAATGCAGACACTAACTTCAATGCAGTATTAGCTCCCAGTGGGAAGTGGCTACAGAAAGAAAGTGTACCTGTTCCCATAGCATTCCCTCTTAACTGGCTGGGTGTTCAGAGTTCTGCCACCTTGAGAAGCCTACCATAGAATGTTGGATTGCTGGGTTCTTGCATTCTGCCTGGTACTGTCTAGGAGTCTTGGAT